ACAGCCTCCATACAATGGGGCGCGCGCACCAACCACTCCGTGCTCTAATGATTCTGTGCGTTGATAGAAAGACACATATTCTTATTATAACATCGTGTAGACTTCCACTTCCACGTCGTTCTTTTCACGTACCTCAGGAGCCCCCCCGCCCTCCCCAGCTCCCGCTGTGAGGTGCATGTGTGAACAGCCAGATCTGGAGGACTTACCTAGAAATGTTCAGGACTGTAAATGTGAAACAGCTTCTTGATGATGTTTGTGTGTTTTATTGTTTTTAGACATCAGGCCCAACACGGTGTCGGCCACAGTTCCCTGTCTTCCTGCTTATATCCTCTTTATGTGTATCCGTCATGCCGACTACATCAACGACGACCAGAAGGTGGAGTCCCTGCTCACCTCCACCATCAACGCCATCAAGAAGGTCCTGAAGGTGAGACATGTCTTCTTTTAAGAGCTCAGAGTTAAACTTGTGATTTTATTGTATAATTATTATTTTGTTTGGTGTGCAGAAAAACAACGATGACTTTGAGATGACGTCCTTCTGGCTGGCAAACACCAGCCGCCTGCTGCACTGTCTGAAGCAGTACAGTGGAGACGAGGTGAAGTGCGCACACACACACACACACACACACACACACACACACACACACACACACACACACACACACACACACACACACACTTCCTGTTGTTTATGCTGCAGCTCATGAGTCACACATGTTCTTTGTTTCTTTAGGCGTTCATGACTCAGAACACAAGCAAACAGAACGAACACTGTCTGAAGAACTTTGACCTGGCAGAGTACCGACAGGTGCTCAGTGACCTCTCCATCCAGATCTACCAGCAGCTCATCAAGGTGGCCGAGGGCATCATCCAGCCCATGACTGGTTAGTTATGATCACTACCTGTCACTAACTAATGTAAAGGCTGTCACTGAATCCACCAGTCAGATTGTTCTCATGTAAAGGAAGTGGACGTAAAATCCAGGTCTGACAAGTGAAGCCAATGGTCATTATTTTCAGACAGTAGGCCTACTTTTTGTTTAAAATTTAATTATTCACTTCAAACTCGTATATAGAGTTACGATGCTGGATGCCCAAACTAAACATGGTCAAAAATCTCAGATCATGTTGTAAACGTGTGTCTACAGAGGGCGCTAAACAACTTGTTCTACATGCCATAGTCCCCCGATATGAAACCAAGAACTTCACCAGATGGCTTCAAGCCTCTTCGTCGGTGAAACCTCTTACAGGCTCTCTATCCCTGCTTTGGAAAGCAGCCCTCCCCTGGCAGCCCTGCAGCGTTCTGTATACAGTCTGTGCTCTTAGAGGAAGACGTCACTAAGGCCGACAGTTCAATGAGTTTGTGAGCAAATTACGAGCCTAAATAAATACACAGGACCTCTTCAGACTTATGCAGAATATATCTCTGTTTCAAACTAAGCTCGAGTTGTTTTTTTCGAGGCTGTTTCAAATGTTTAATTTATGTCCTCTTATATTTGAGCTATATGGTTAGAGCTGTTGGTTATTTCAGTGTTTGATGGAGGACGTCAAACACAAGTACCTCTCAGGGGGCGGTTATTATACACACACGCACACACACAGACACACACACACACACAGATGGAGAGAAGAGTATACTGCTCTCTGATTGGATGCAGACGGGACTTTCCTTGACACTGCTGAGGCAGCTGTTGTTCTGACTCATTTCTGAATTCACTGACTCATCAACTGATTCTATACTGTGTACCGCTGTTACCACAGCAACACACCCTGTACTATCATTAGATACCACAGAGATAGGTTTCAAAGACATCTTTGCCTCTTCATCACTTTTAGCAGAGTCACTCCTGATCAGCTACAAACACCATGCGACAGGCCTGACAAACCAGCGACCCCTGGGCCACATACTGACCTTTCTTATTTTTCTGTGGCCAGTGAGAGGCTGCCAGTGTGCTGTGTCTGCAGTATAATGAATATTACTGAGGTAACGAACGTCCAGAGTTTCAAGCACACACACTTTAACTGGGCCGTCAGCTCAGGTAAATTAAAAGTATCCAAGTACACATCAGTAAAACACGATCAATTATAAGTGCACATACCCCACACTTTGCTCCTCCCACTCATGTTTACTATCACAAACACACAGCAGGAGCGTCTCCATGAACAGATCTCACATTGGGCCCCTCCCCCACAGCCTCCGTTGACCCTGAAATATCACTATAACCACAACTCCATTGATCCTGCCTGGAGCTGTGTGTGCACACATGATCTCCTCTCTTCAGTGTGTTATATGAACATGGCTCTGATATCTCCGCCTGTTGTTTTCAGTGTCGGCCATGTTGGAGAGCGAGAGCATCCCAAGCCTGGCGGGGGTCAAACCGATGGGCTACAGAAACCGTTCGTCTAGCATGGACATGGATGCAGGCGGCCCCACTAGCTACACTCTGGAGACTCTCATCCGACAGCTGGGTCAGTTCCACAGCATCATGAGGGACCACGGCCTGGACCCCGAGATCGTGGGTCAGGTGGTCCGACAGCTCTTCCACTGCATCAACGCCGTCACGCTCAACAACCTGCTGCTACGCAAAGACGTGTGCTCGTGGAGCGCTGGCATGCAACTCAGGTACCTCCACACACTGCACACCTGCATGACATCACAGGCTCAGGCTGTGTCTGTAACACATTGTGTGTGTGTGTGTGCGCGCGTGTGTGCGCGCGTGTGTGCGTGCGTGTGCGTGTGTGCGTGTGTGTGTGCGTGCGTGTGTGTGTGTGTGTGCGCGCGCGTGTGTGTTCAGGTACAACACCAGTCAGATGGAGGAGTGGCTCAGAGCAAACAACCTTTATCAAAGTAAAGCTGCGGCCACTCTGGAGCCGATCATCCAGGCCGCCCAGCTTCTGCAGGTTAAAAAGAAGACGACTCAGGACGCCGAGGCCATCTGCTCGCTCTGCACCTCCCTCACCACTCAGCAGGTCGGTAACCATGGCAACAAACACACCAGCTGACCGATTAACATATCAGCAATGAATGACACATTAGCAATAATCAACATCAGCCATTCAATCAACACTGATTTTTAACTCTGGCTGTCGTCACATCCCATTTTATAGAGAATGATTAATCGCAGAATTTCAACAGTTAATCGCGATTAATCGCATTTCTAAAGTTCCATCATTTTGCATTTTAATGCAATTTTAATTTCATTCTTAAGTCCATATTAACAATGTGAATAATTTCTTCCCAGTGTGTTGGTTTTTGAATCAAATAAATGTGAATAAAAGTTTTTTTATGATGACTTTAAATAAGAGCTGCTCTGCTGCAGCTCTGAAACCATGAGAGACACCTTCCACAGCGTCTTCTGTCGAACAGAGTATATGTTTATAGTTTAAAGGATCACACTGTGACACATTAAGAACTCTGCACGAGGACTCAGTGACATCCAGCTTTGACACAGTTTAGTGTTTCTCTCTGGTTCAGGTCAGGTGGTGACATGAAACAGGTCACAACATGTCGACCTGAAGACGTCCCTCAGACCAGAGTATTCCTCAGTGTTGACTGACCTGCAGTCAGTGTCTACCCGTTGTTTTGGACTGCTTATTGTCTCTCTCTGCAGACTCGCTGTTGTCAGGCAGATTAAGTTCACCTGTATGTTCAGATTGTAGGTGGAGCTCAGATTTAAACTTCTCCCTGATAATGATTGATAATTTCATCCTGTTTGACACGAGCTGCAGATTACTTCTGACTTTTAACTAAGCCTTTTAAAGTGAAAGGAGACATTCAGAGGAGCAGGGGCGTCCTTCTTTTCTATCACTGTGAAAATGCTGTGACGGCTTAACTATGGCGAGCTGAGAGGGACGAAATAGCACATGATTATATTTGACACCTCGTGTTTAAAATGGGTTCTGCAGTCACAATTCTAAACATTGTAGAGAGCTGTCTCCCCCCTCCCCCTCCTCTCTAGAGTCCATGCTCACGTAGGTTGCCACGTTGCAGACACTGAAGCTTCAGTGTTTATCCAGCTCTGCATCGGTCTGTAAACCTTTCTGTGTTCTAACCTCTCTCCATTTTTCAAAAGCATCTCTAATATTGATCCTAGTTTGAGCACGTTTCTGCTCGTGGAGTTTATTAGAAACATGCAGAGGCTTTTTAGGTCGAGTACAATCACTTCTATCTGAACCACTTCTCTTGCCCGCTTCCATCGCTGCAACACCTGTTGGTTTGACCTGATAACTGCTCTCATATCTGACAAACCGAGGGGTGTCCAAAACAGCTGTGTGGGTGTGCCTTAAAACCGCCTACCTTCTTTGGTCCAAACAAATCCAGAGCATTCAGGACCAGAATCTAAAGTTAGAAGGAGGACATACTGGCTGCTGCATTGTTGTCAGAGAAGCCAGCACTTCAACATAGCATGTTTCCTTAATGTCTGATCATATAGTAAGATCACTTTATCATTTCACTCACTACACATCTCACTGATTGATCCTTTAGTCTCACTGTTAGGCGTTAACGCTGACAGCCATAATTTAAACACATCAGCTGAACCCTGAAACATCAGTAAATTAATAAACGCTCAATATGATGGATTGTATTTAACATCAATCATCACGACTGGTAGCAATCAACTGATCAATAATCCTGTTTGTTTCAGATTGTAAAGATCTTAAACCTGTACACGCCTCTCAACGAGTTTGAGGAGAGAGTCACCGTGTCCTTCATCAGGAACATCCAGGTGAGTCTCTCACAGGTAGGGAGGGTGTGGTCATGTAGACTGGTGTGTTTGCTCACATGTTCCTGTCTGTACACAGAACAACCTACAGGAGAGGAACGACCCTCCTCAGCTCCTGCTGGACACCAAGCAGCAGTTTCCCGTGCTCTTCCCATACACGCCGTCCGCCCTGAGCCTGGAGACGCTGCACATCCCCGCCACGCTCAGACTCGACTTTCTTACCAGAGTGTGATGAACCTGCTCCTCACACACCTGAACCTGCTCCTCAGCATACCTGAACCTGCTCCCCAACTCACCTGAACCTGCTCCTCAGCACACCTGAACCTGCTCCTCAGGTGTGTGAGGTTTCCTGCAGGATGAAGAAGTTTCAGATCCACAAATAGAAATAAATCAGATTTTAAAACTTGTACGATGATGACGAAGGCGTTTACTTTCCACACGTTCAGTCGTTGGTGGAAAAAGAGCGTTTAGTTGCAGTACCGCAAGCGACCACCAGGACAAATGTAAAACTGACAGCAATAATGTGTCCATGCTGTACAAAACCTTCAGTCAGTTATCCCAGAATGCATTGCTCTTTGGTTCATAGATGCAGACATGACAGCCTGTGTATGAAGTGGAGGTGATCAGAGGTCAGTCAGCTGTTAGCTCCTCTTGAAGTCGACGTTTTGTGCAATGCCGGAAATTAATCAGAAAACGAGCTGAACAGATTTTTATCTTCCAATCATGTTGTTATGGAAACACAATCAGAAGTAATCACTACGTTCTGCTGCTCCTCTTTGGTCTCTTTGCCTTTTTCAGTTCAGTTACAGGAAGTAACTCTTCTTCACTGATTTATATCGTTTTATTATTCTGATCCTCTCTCTTTTATATTTCTGTGTTGACTCTTTCCTGTTTCTTATTTTGAGTCTTTTATGTTTGATTTAAATAATAATATAAAAACACAAGTGTGTTCTGCTGCCCCCTGAGGTAGGAGAGAATACTGCAGTCTGCTACCATGAATAAACCTGATTATACACATAATGAGAGAAAATAAATCATGAAATCATTTGCACTCGTAGAAAACATAAATAATGGCCGTGCTTTCTCTAGCGTTCAAACATCTTTCACCACAATGTTTTATTTCTGTGAGAAAAAAAAGGTTCATGATACAAATCAATAATGAATATATTTTATAGGATCAAATCTCTCCTTGTGTCATTGGACGCTCTCGTCAATCTGAGTTTGAATCTCTGGATGAGACAAAGTGACTTCCTGTGTGTCAGAATATAGATTTTGAGAATGAAGAAACTTTGATGATTTCATGTACTAATAACCAGCAGACATCTTTACGTCTGTTATTCACAATAAAACACTTTTCCAGAAAAAAAAACACCCCACAATGTTTCCTTCTTTTATCGTTTAAAGGGGACATACAGAACATGTATTGTGAAAAATCCTCTTCTACAGTTTGTTTGAACATATATTTGGGTAACCTGAGTGTCTACTGACCCACAAAATGTGAAATAAACCCATCCAGTCCTTTGTTTGTGGTCTGCATAAGTTTTACAACACAGAGAAAAAAGCTCTGTTTCAAATGTGCTCTCCTTGTGATGTCACAGTGGGATTCTGGTAAAAAATAATCCCCTCCCCTCCCCTGGTATCGCCACCCATGGACTCCACCACCAGCCTAGAACAAAACTTTTGAGCAGGTCCGCCATATTTACTCTTGCTACAGAGGAGTGATGTCTACCTGGAAAACTCAGGGGGGCTCATTGCATTTAAAGAGACACACACACCAAAACAGAGCGTTCTGAGAGAGCTGGTTTATACAGGGTCTCAAACCTCCTCTGGTGCTTGATTCATGTTATATTTTGACCAAAGTACAGCACAGATGTTTCATTTAGACCACAGGGGACTGTTTGAAGAGGTGGACAAGGGGGAGAATATGTCCTCATTAAAGCTCCTGAGAGGAACCCCTGGTTTGTGTCACCGGTGGCGCGCCCATTGGACAAATGAGTGAATCTTGTTTCTGTGATGATCTTGTGTAATTAAAGTCGCTGTGAACCAGGTCACAGAGCATCAACGTTTTACATCATCATGTTTCATTTTAATTTTACACACTTTATTAATCCTGAGGGAAATTCTGTTTTATTGAGAGACATGCTTCTCACACGAAGATGCCAATTACACACACGTACAAACAGGACCTGTGGACATTAGTGGAGAGATGGATGCTACACAGGGGTCGCCCCACAGTGGTTGGGGGTTTGGTGCCTTGCTCAAGGGACCCTCGGCAGTACTCAGGAAGTGACCTGCTACCTCTCCAGATACCAGTTTAACTTTTGGATGCACCGTTGACTGTAAATCAACACAGATGAGTGATTTGATGAATCTTCTCTCTTTGGTCAGACTGCTGGGTTATTCATCTCTGAGCTCGATGATTCTCTTTCAGAGGAAGACGCAGAATAACATAAAATAAAAAATATCACTAAATTTATAAAATACTAAAAACAGTTTCCTGACAGACGGACGAGCAGAGAACAGCTCTGTGTGAACGTGGAGACCAGACGATTCCCACAGCAGCTCTGAGCGTGTGTGTGTGTGTCTGTGTGTGGGTTGTTCCAGGTGTGTGTGGTTTACCTGTCACTCAGGTGGCAAACACACACACACACACAGACACAGCGCCTCACAAACACACACACACACACACACACAGACACAGTGTCTCACAAACACACACACAGACTTGTGTCAGTGTTTCTTGTGTATCATCAGGTCTCCTCACATCTCATCTTTCATTTCGTAGCACGTCCATTCAATTATTTAATTTCTCTTCCTGTTGGATTAAATAATTTCCTATCAGATCCATTCTACTTATTTTGTATCACATCGTGACCAGGCTGTTGTTTGGTATCATACATCATATCATCTTGTATCTAACAGTGTCGTATCTAATCGTATCTAATAGTATTGTATCGTATTGGTAATTATTGGTAATTACAATTATATTGTAAGGTAAAGTATATGTATAATAAATCAAATCATATGTGCTGGTTTCATTGTATCATTAAGTGTAGTACTGTAACATATCACTTTGTTATGGTATGGAGTGCTGCATCATGATTGGGTTAAATCTGCGTTTCATTAAGTTTAATAAAGTTCAGGCTTCAGGTGTGAAAAGCATCATGGTGACCTGACAGGTGTGCTGTTTGAACCCACTGCTCTCCTCAGAGGTCAAAGGTCAGGATTAATGTACACTCTCATCTAAATGTCAGTGTGCGTGTTAATTCTCTGTTTGAGCTTGTTGTGTGTGCGTTTGCAAGCTGCTCTACGTGTTTTCAGAGGATGAAGGCTCTGAGCGAGGAAGAGGATGTGGTGACGAGTCATCTCAACCTGTTTGCACGACGTGCAACACCTTCCTACACAATCTTATAGCGTGTGTGTGTGTGTGTGTGTGTGTTTATATCTGGGAGGGGCTTCTTGAACAGTGAGTACCTTCTCATCTTGGACACTTTTCTTTTTAAATCTGAGAGCTGGAGCTTCACAGCCTAAGATATGTCTATAACCCTGCCTCCATGACACTAACGAGTCGCCCCCCCCCCCCCCCCCCCCTGTCTGACCTCCCCCTACCTGTCCGACCTCAACTACCTGTCTGAGCTCCCTCTACCTGTCGGACCTCCCCTACCTGTCTGACCTCCCCCTACCTGTCCGACCTCCCCTACCTGTCTGACCTCCCCCTACCTGTCTGAACTCCCCCTACCTGTCTGACCTCCCCTACCTGTCTGACCTCCCCCTACCTGTCTACCCTCCCTACCTGTCTGACCTCCCCTACCTGTCTGAGTCCCCCCACCAGTCTCACCTTCCCAACCTGTCCGACCTTCCCCACCTGTCTACCCTCCCCTACCTGTCTGACCTCCCCCTACCTGTCTGACCTCCCCCTACCTGTCTGACCTCCCCTACCTGTCTGACCTCCCCCTACCTGTCTACCCTCCCCTACCTGTCCGACCTCAACTACCTGTCTGACCTCCCCTACCTGTCTGACCTCCCCTACCTGTCTACCCTCCCCTACCTGTCTACCCTCCCCTACCTGTCTGACCTCCCCTACCTGTCTGAGTCCCCCCCACCAGTCTCACCTTCCCAACCTGTCCGACCTCCCCCACCTGTCTGAGCTCCCCTACCTGTCTGTGTGAGTCTGTTTGTGTGTGCGTGTACATGTGTGTGTGTGTGTGTGTGTGTGTGTGTGTGTGTGTGTGTGTGTGTGTGTATGTGTGTGTGTGTGTGTGTGTGTGTGTGTGTGTTTGTGTGTGTGTGTGTGTGTGTGTGTGTGTGTGTGTTTGTGTGTGTGTGTGTGTGTGTGTGTGTGTGTGTGTGTGTGTGTGTGTGTGTGTGTGTGTGTGTGTCTGTTTGTGTGTGTGTGTGTGTGTGTGTGTGTGTGTGTGTGTGTGTGTGTGCTCTCAGTGTAAACAGACTCGACAGATTCCTGCAGAAACATAAAAACCACAAATGAACATGTTTATGATGCTGTCAGAGATACAGACCTCAGGTCTGTGGTTAGTGTGTTTGTATGTGTGTGTGCTGGGGAGGCACACAGTGTTTGAAGCATGTCTCAGTCTTCTTCAGTTCTCCATGTTGCTCCATGATGTTCACCGTATCTCCTGAGTGCACAGAGCGGAGCGTTAACCACAGACCTCGAAGCCTCCACCCATCTCCACCCACGGCCCCGTCTCAGCTCGTCTGTTCTCCAGGATATAGTCAGAACATCTTCAACAGACACTCTGCTCTTTCACAGAAACATGAATCTGTCATATAGATGACAGAATAAAGACCTTTTCTCAGCAGTCTCCTCTCTGAGGCCTCAGATATTCTTAAAGTGAATTCTCAAACACAACGAGCTGCGTCGTCAACAAAATCTTTCACATACTTGACTCTGTACTACACATGTCACTGGAGAACCATCAACTCAAATGACGACTGTAATTTCTGATTTTGATGAGAAAAGGTGACAAAGCAAAGAAACTGGTTGCTAAAAAAACATCCTGATTCTCCAACATAGAAAATAAATTAGATATTTTCAGCACATTAAAGATTCCATATTTTCTTCATGTTCACCTTTTATGTTAAACGGTAAATGGTCTTGAGCTTCTTCAATTCTTTTCTAGTCTTCTCACGACACAAAGTAGTTTACCACCACAGGTCACACCTACACATTCACACACTGATGGTAGAGGCTGCCGAGTAAAGAGTCCGTCAGTATTAACTCATCCATTCATACACATTCAAACAAAGCAGTGGGAGCAACTTGGAGTTAAGTGTCTTGCCTATGGACACATCGGACATGTGGCATCAGGAGCACATTTATTATAAACAGCAGCATCTTCTTGGTCTCGAGCAGCTTTATAGTCTGACCCTCCTCTTTCATACAGGGAAAGAGATTGACTCGATCATGTCAGCATAATTGGTGATATAATGCACCATCTTGTTGTCCATTGATGTTGTTGTTGACTGACAGGTGTCAGAGGTGTTGATGTTGTTGTTGTTGTTGTTGTTGTTGACTGACAGGTGTCAGAGGTGTTGATGTTGTTGACTGACAGGTGTCAGAGGTGTTGATGTTGTTGTTGTTGTTGTTGTTGTTGTTGACTGACAGGTGTCAGAGGTGTTGTTGTTGTTGACTGACAGGTGTCAGAGGTGTTGATGTTGTTGTTGACTGACAGGTGTCAGAGGTGTTGTTGTTGTTGTTGACTGACAGGTGTCAGAGGTGTTGTTGTTGTTGACTGACAGGTGTCAGAGGTGTTGATGTTGTTGTTGACTGACAGGTGTCAGAGGTGTTGTTGTTGTTGTTGACTGACAGGTGTCAGAGGTGTTGTTGTTGTTGACTGACAGGTGTCAGAGGTGTTGTTGAGGTGTTGTTGTGTCGGGGTCAGCTGATGTTCCCTCTGAGCTGTAGTAAATAACCTTGTGTTTGAAAACAGAGCAGAGGAGTTGACAGGAAGTGGTCTGTAGGTTGTTGGTTGACTTTCTGCTTCATGGTTGCAGATTGACGGAGAGGAAGACTCTGCAGGTTCAACAGATTCTGACAGAAACATGTAGGGAGATGTTTCTCTGATTATAGATCTATAGACCTGTCAGGCACAGGTTGCTCCGCCCCTAACTCTAAATGGGACCATAATTTCATCATGCTGTGTTGAAGAAGACTTCTCTGTACAGGAGCTGCAGCCTGCTGTGGATGGTTTCAGATTTACAGAACATCCTGTGAGTAAAAACTCCACCGAGAGAGCAGCACCTCCTCCTTCCTCTGCTTGTCTCCTCCTTCTTCCTCCCGCCTTTACACCCCCATCCCTCCCTCCCCACCAGCTGAAGAGGAGAGCTGTCAGCTGGAGAGTCTACAGCTTCACAAGTCTGCTGAGGAGAAAGGAGTTCAGTCTGCTGCTGTGAGGAGGAACGACGGGGAGTAACAGAGAAGAGCAGAGAAGCAGATGAGGAGGAGATGTTGTGTGTGTGTGGAGTCACTGTGTTCCTCCTCCTGGTCGGGGGAGAGGCTCAGAGTGGAGACTCAGACTCAGGTGATAACAAATTAAACTTCTGTTCTGATTTATTAACATTTTCATTAATTATCTCCACAGAGTTAGTATCAGCTAATCCTTTGTGTTTATTTGATTAAAACATTTTTTTTAGTTAAATAAAAAACAGCAAAATCATATTTATTTCATGCAGAGCAGGTGGAGTTCTCTTTCTGTGTGTTGCTGTCGTGTTGTTGTTGTTGTCGTGTTGTTGCTGTTGTGTTGCTGTTGTCGTGTCTTGAGGTGTATACTGCAGTCAGTCAGCAGGGGGGAGCTCTACATGGTTTGGTTTCACTTGAGGCTGTCCATTCTTTATACAGTCTATGCTGCACATCCAGAGATTACAATCTAAATGCTCCAGGCCTGCAGGGGGCGCTCAGGGAACAGAATTTTGGATGAAAGCCCTTTAGGGAGAAAATTTATTTGGCGGCAAACCAAGCCGCAACCTCTGGTGTTGAAAAATGACCAAATGCAGAAGTGCAAAAAAAACTGCAGTTCCTCCAGTCTCCACTAGAGTCTGTCTCCTGCAGTGAGTCAGTCCCATAGACTGTAAATATTACTGGACGAACCCTGACCCGTCTGTGACATAGGCAGAAAATGAGTCCAATCGACGGCCGCATCCATATTGGATTTGCAGTCTCAACCTAACTTCGGATCAACCTAGCAACAGCAGTAAGGCGGGACCGGCGGGACGTCGTATAAACAGTAAGTTAACATTTAACTTTTCTACAACACAGTTAAAACGAATTATATTCAACACAAATATTTAATTAAAGTCTTAAAACTACACTTTTTTAAATATACAATTATGTTTATGAGTTATTTGTCAGAGCAGTTAGACTTTGTCAGTGTTAGCAGAGAAATACATTAACAAAGTTTTATCCATAGACTGTAAATGAGACATCCAGAAGAAATCAATATTACAAAGCATACAGTTACTGTTCTGACAAAGAGGAATGTCTGTGTCTTATATTTACTGATGTCAACAGCGATGAGGTGAACATGACAATTGAAAAATAATTATTTAGTATTTATTATAAGACATTTGTTTTCTATTGAACCCCGTGAAGTCATGGAGTCTGTGGACAGTGTCAGCTTCACACCAAAAACTTTAAGTATTAGAAAAAATAGTATTTAAGACTGGCATCTATTATTATGAGTTGCAGCTACCTTGTTCAATATTATTCCTGCAGATGTGGCTCATAACAAAAAAACAGCCTGAGCTGTCACATGTAGTTAACTGTACATTTTGTTTTGTCTGAGGCATTAATTGAACACCTTTGTATTTCTCTTATAGACACAGTGTGGATTATTGGTGACTTGTCCGTCGAGGTGTCCAGAGAGCTGCAGAGACAGAGGAAGAAACCTGAGCCTCAACAACATCTGCATTTGTTGGTTCTTCTGGGGTGGACTTCGGTTGCTTCTCTTCAACAGCTCGCTGTGAGGGAGGTCTCCCCCGGATGGCCTGAGTGATGTCACCCACAGGCTGAGAGCTGAAGCTGAGACGGGTTTTAAGCCTTTTGACAAACCGTTACACCGCGCCCACCTGTCAAGCTGGTCAGCTACACGCCTTATTGTGAATAACTCTTATCCTTCATCAAAACATTCACCCCCCGTACAGTGTGTGTCCATCGAGACATGAGCTAATCACACCTATTTGTTTGTTTGTTTTGTACCAAGCTGTAAACATGTTAATCTCTGCTGTAAAAACAGACTTTTTTTAATGTTGTTTTTCAGATTAAATAAATATTTCTATATAAATGCACTCCTTTATGTCTACTTATGAGTATACATTTCAGATTAATGCTCAACTCAATAGTTTAGGGAAGGAAGTCTACTTTTACACAACTTCTTATTCTTTTGATAAATACTAATGTAGTTCATTTCTGAAAGTGGGATGGAACAGAGTCATTGCAAAAATGTGCCCTTAAACACAGCCCCATTCTTAAATCAAGATACGTGGAGAGTAAATAAGATCAATAACTTGTGAATAAAAACACAGTTAAAAATGATTTAGAAATGTAGTCTTCCCGATCAATATCACATAATATCAACTTCTCCCATCTAAACTGGACAAAAGGTTTTAAAATGGGAAGAAAATAGTTTGATTGCGAGTTGTTTGGAGGAGATCTATTTTAATTTGAACAGCATGAATACAGTCTTCCAAGGTGCAAACCCTCCTCCTCCTCCTGAAGCTTGTGGAGCTCGTTGATGTACTGCTGTCTTATCTGCTGGCCATCTTCTCTCAGCAGAACTTCAACTGTTGAAAAGTCATTCAGAAGAAGCTTGAGCATGTGACATGGATCCTGGAGAACATGGACTTTTAGTGAGAGGTCTTCAGGATGGCAAAGAAAGAGAGAAAAAATCAGTTATTCATTAAATCATTTTTTTTGTTCTCATCTATTTTTCTGTATTCATCTGTGTGTAAGAGCACATTTATAAATTCAACAGTGTACTACCCAGACAACAAAGGTACAGTATTCAGGTAATCAACATCTATTCAAAGTTAAGAAGATAAACATTATTGTAATCATGCTGTTTTCAGCTCTCTCACTCACACAATGATATTCCACATCAAATTGTCTCAGATTTTGTGTGAGGAAAAATTCAGGAATTTATTGTGGATAGTACTTCATCTTAACATGAAACAAATACAACCTGAATTATTTAAATCAGTAACAGGTCCCAACTCTCTGTGCTTTAGTACAGAACATACAGTAACTCATTTATTATTAACATGAGCTCAGTACATGGATGTATTCTTCAAACTATTTCTTATACTTTATATCTATGTGCTTTATATCTTATTTTCATTCCATATGTTATTTATATTTCTACAGCTATATTCTGTGTATGAGTTCAGTGAAAATTAATATGGTTATTAATATAGTTCTTAATGGTTACAGATGCTCTTACAAAGTGAAGTTTTTTTTATTTGTTAACAGTTTGCTCAAATCTTAAGACACTACATCAACCATGTAACTTTAATGTCATCCTCTATAACCTACACAGCACATTAGGTTCAGTTCAGTTTATGTTACTGACGGATAATTACTACACAAAGTTTGTTTTTTAATGTCCACATTTACGTGGAGTATAACATTCATCATAACGTCAGATAACCACCGAGGTGAACCTTTAGCTTCTAACATCACACAAACTCACTATTTTCAACAACAACATCTTAACAACAAACATTTCTAAACCATTGACCGTAAATAATGTAAATAATGAGCTACACAGTTAGCCGACTGGTTTACAAGCTAACGCTAAACAAGCTAGGTCCGTAAATATAAACACATGAGTAAGCAGTAAATATAACACTACTATATCACTTACCGAAAAAAACTGAAGCATCAACTTGTTGGATGGTCTGTTAACCGCACAGCAAGCCATGTATGTTGTCAGATATGTGTTAAACAAACTCTCCAAACGAAGTAAAAAAGAGGAGAAATCAGACGGATCAAGCTGTTAGCCTCCTGACCTGCTGACCTGACAGACAGATGCAGCGCGCAGAGCTGTCAATCAAATCTGACACAACCAAATATGGGCATAGCCGTTTTCCTTAATAGAATAAAATCCGATGAGTTATAAAAAAATTCACCCCCCCCCACAGTGTGAGGAGAAGGGGCCGTCAACTTCTCAGATATATCTCGTTTTTTGAACCAGGCTGTAAACATGTTGATTCCTGTGGTAAAAACGGGCTTTTTTGGCTGTGGGCTTATGGCACTTCCGGCGCTTCTGCAGCCAGCCTCAAGTGGAACCTCGAGGAACTGCAGTTTTTTGTACTTCCGCATAGGCTTCATTTTTCCAGACCGGAGGTTGCCCCTTGGTCAGTCCCCATAGAGCTCCATGTTAAAATGTCTAACTTTACAGCTGCAGTTCCTCCCGTGTCCACTAGAGGCTGTCTCCTGCAGTGAGTCAGTCCCCATAGAGCCCCATGTTAAAATGTCTAACTTTACAACTGCAGTTCCTCCAGTGTGCACTAGAGGCTGTCTCCTGCAGTGAGTCAGTCACCATAGAGCCCCATGTTAAAATGTCCAACTTTACAGCTGCAGTTCCTCCAGTGTCCACTAGAGTCTGTCTCCTGCAGTGAGTCAGTCACCATAGAGCCCCATGTTAAAATGTCTAACTTTACAGCTGCAGTTCCTCCAGTGTCCACTAGAGTCTGTCTCCTGCAGTGAGTCAGTCCCCATAGAGCCCCATGTTAAAATGTCTAACTTTACAGCTGCAGTTCCTCCAGTGTCCACTAGAGTCTGTCTCCTGCAGTGAGTCAGTCACCATAGAGCCCCATGTTAAAATGTCCAACTTTACAGCTGCAGTTCCTCCCGTGTCCACTAGAGTCTGTGTCCTGCAGTGAGTCAGTCCCCATAGAGCCCCATGTTAAAATGTCCAACTTTACAGCTGCAGTTCCTCCAGTGTCCACTAGAGGCTGTCTGTAAAAGCTAATAAATCCTCGTCCCTTTCCTAAATTAAAATGTCCGACTTTACATCAGAAATGAACATGTGTACAGCCTGGTTGAAAGACAGTTTGCATCTGAATAGCTCATGTCGTTATCACACACTGTACAGATGTTTTTGCTGTCGTGTTGTCATGTTGTTGCCATGTGGTTGCTGTTGTGTTGTTGCTGTTGTGTTGCTGTTGTTAGGTTTATAGAGGTGTAAAGAGGAGACGAGCAGCTACTTTTAGCAGAGTATGAATTTGAGTTAAGCGTCTTTTTCCTCGTCACGTTTGTGTTTCAGAGCCAGGACTCAGCTGCTTCTCTCACATCATGATGGATAGCTGCAGTCTGACCTGCCGACTGGAGGGAATGGGGGGCAACAGCGAGGATGATGAAGATGAAGAGACCGACAGCATCCAGAAGATAACCATGTGGTAAATGATTCTTCAGGTGAACATCAGCAGCATCCAGAGAGCAGGATGTGTTCATGACTCTGTTTGTGTTCAGCTACAGAGACTGGGGCCAAAAGGCAGAGCGCTGCATTGAGAGACTCGGGGACACGGTGAACTCCACAGAACTGAATCCTCTGGGTGACTACTATGTGACCGTCTACCTGAAGAGAGGACGGCGGATTAAGACCACCGTGGAACTGAAGAAGATCGGTACACCGCAGCTCTCTCACACTGTTTGAACAAACCTTTGAACTCAGGTCTGGGTGCCAAGAGGGGAAACTACGGTGTCCAACAAGGCCAAATGTGCTGCAGCGGCCCATAGATTTGACATAAGGCTTCACTGTAGGCTGTCCATTCTTTATACAGAGATTACAACCTAAGTGCTCCAGGCCTGCAGGGGGCGCTCAGGGAACAGGATTTTGGATGAAAGTCTTTTACAAATAAAAATTATTTGGCACCAAACCAAGCAGCAACATCCGGTGTTGAAAAATGCAAAAAATGCAAAATGTAGCCCCCCCCCCCCCCACTCACTGTGTCATCTGCTTCTTCCTGTCCCTGCAGTGAAACCAAGGAGCCCTCAGGTGTCCAACGTGACCTTTGACCTCGACTCTTACCAGGCCGTGTTCCACATTCAGACCCCATACCACCAACAGTACCTGAAAGTAGAGAACCAGATGTTCCAGCTGCTGATCTGGAGTGCAGGCAGCTCCTTGGTAACACCTCCTCTTCTTCTTCTTCTTCTTCTGTAGTTCTCTCTCTTTATCGGAGACGATCGAGGTCATGTCTGTGTCTCCTCTTCATCCTCAGACTCAGAACGTGTCGTCCTCAGACACTCTGAAGGTCAACATGCAGCACCTGACCTTGAACACACAGTACCACGTCCGAGTGCGAGCCATACCACTCGGACACCTACAGGGCACCTGGAGCGAGTGGAGCGACTCGTCCCCCTTCTTTACTCCTGACGGTGAGCGTGATTCCACATTATCGAGCGCTGAAGATAATTCTTTAAAACTTGTTTTGATTGATTGTTTGAAAGATTCCAAGAAAAAGGAGGAGGAAGACGTCGTGTTTCTCATCAAATTTCAATTAATAAATCTCAACGTTGCTAATTAAGTTAGACAGATACATAAGAGAAGATTGCGGCTGACTGCAGGTAAACAAAAACATCGACCAACGTATCACTCCAAATGTTTTGGAAGTGTGAACGAGTTTCCCTGCTATTTTAACCTCTAACTGAAAAATCCCAAAGTAAGGATCCTTTCTTTGTAAAGGAGTCCTAGGAATGATTTTTAATGTAGTAGTGAGACGATCCAGTGTGGCCGTACACTCGGTCTGAATATTGGATATCACATGATTTGTCACCGATCAGCCTGGAGCCATGTTTTCACTGTGGCTTCAGAGGGCGGATCTTTTTATTTGAACTCTCTCTCTCTCCTCTTTAGTTGTTCTAGAACAAAGAGTCCACAAACAGACGGATGTGTCGACGCTCAGACTGACGGTGTGCCTCGTCGTGCTGCTGCTTGTCACTTCCTGTGTTGTTTTCTTCTGGAAAATCAAGTGAGACGCCTCCGCTGTGTGAGACCATTTGATGATTTATGATGTTTGTGACACGTGGTGTTTACATTCCTCTTTCCTCTGCAGGATCTTTTCCTACATGTGGCCGAGCATCCCCCACCCCAAACACACTCTGCTGCAGATCTGCAGGCCCAATAAGGTGAGACTGTCCTCTGGTCTCCGAAACCACAGACTTGTGATGTTTATTTTGAAGATGTGATTTGTTAGATCAGGTCAGACAATCAAAGTTAAGATGTTTGAATGTTTCTAAGATGATCCTGTCAGATGTTTTGTGCTGTAAAGGGTTATCCCCAGTGATCTGCTCAGAATGATGTGCTGAAGTGTAAAATCCTGCAGTTCCTCGAGTGTCCACTAGAGGCTGGCTGCAGAAGCACAGGAAATCACATACACACCCATTCTAAAAAGCCTGTTTTTACAGCAGAGATGAACATGTTTACAGCCTGGTTCAAAAAAACAAACTGGTCTGATTAGCTCATGTCTCGATCGACACACACTGTACGGGGGGGTGAATGTTTTGATGACTCATCAGTTTTGATTTGATGAAGGATGAGAGTTATTCACAATAAGGCGTGTAGCTGACATGATTGACAGGAGGGCGCGGTGTAACGGTTTGTCAGGAGGTTTAAAACCCGCCTCAGCTCCAGCTCTCAGTCTGTCGTTAGGTTGACTGAAAGTTAGACTGAGACAGCATTTCCAGCAAGCTACATGAAGAAGGACAAACAACAACCTAAGCAAATGAGTTTTTACTCTCCTCCTGCTCGCTCTGTTACACATACAGAACATGTTCACTCTGTCTCCACGACTTTGTCCAGAGTTGAACTTGAACTTGAATCGTTCGTTGAACTAAATTAATTTTCAGTGAAAAGTCCAAAAAAACAATCACCAACTCTTCCTGCCCTCCGTCCTCAATGTTTGTTTCCTCTGACCTGTGATGGTGAGAGATTCAGTGAGATCTAAGAGTTTAGAGTTGAGCTGTTCGATCATCCTCATCTGTTCAGATTTTCAGATTTTCGTTTTGTGCTCCTTGTTGTTGGTCGTCGTAGAAACAGTTCTGTTAGTGGTTCTGATGTTTAGATTTCATCTCCTGTTCGATAATATTTCAACGTCTCTTTGCTGCAGGGCCTCCTCCTGAACTTCAAACCTGAAGAGTTCAGCGCTCTGAGAGTGTCTCCTTTGGCCAAATCAGAGGAGCAGCCGTGTGAGGAGACCGACCCTCCCACTCCTCCTGCAGCTAACAGCAGCTCCTCGACTCCTCCCTGCTCCACCCAGACCTCCGAGTGCTCCACCACCATCACCAGCATCAGCACCGAGGAGCTGTCCGGCCTGCTGAGCAGGAGCTCCTCAGATGTGGAGGACGGCGTCCAGAGCAGCGGTCCATCCTCCATCAACTTCCTCCAGGATGAGCAGAGACCTCACACGCCCCCACAAGAGCACAGCGAGGGAGGAAATGAGGGGGAGGAGTCAGGAGGGAGTCAGCAGGAGGAGGCCTACGTCACCATGTCCAGCTTCTATCAGATCAAATAGGTCAGGAGGAGGAGTGTGGAAGACTAGGAGACAACCAGCTACACCTGAGGATGCTCTTATCAGTGCTTCGTAATCTGCGGGTCAGGACCCCTCATGAGGACCCTAGATACATCTGAGAGGCCACCAAACCTTAAAGTAAAAGTCAGTTTTTTTAGTGCTCACTTGATGTCCGGACTGAAGTATGTGGGTCATCTGGATTCATGAATCCCAGGTGACTCCAGAGTGATCACATGATGATTCATGAAGTTCACCTGAAGGATGTCAGGTATGAATGAAGAGGACGACGCATCAGCCTGCCTCCTCATAAATGTCTGTAATTCTTCTTTCTGCAGGTCGAAGAGAGAATTATGTTTCACTGACAGCAGAACGATCGACTGCACTCTTTGATTTGGGGACATGGAAATATAGACTTGAAGTATTTTGTTGCTTTTGATGTTTATTTTGATGTTTTCATTATTAATTTGATGTTTTTCGTGTACTGACAACTCCTCAAACTGCCGACTGGACAAATTAGTCCAGGACCTTCAGACACGTTGGACCTCCTCACTGTTTACTTCAACAGCTGCTGACTGTAGGTTTTCCAGAATCATTACCACATCGGGGTAGTTTTGGCAGACTGAGGATCTCACATTTGTTCTCATCCTGCACTTTGTCTTAGATTTTTTTATTTTCTGGGGGGACTTTTTGTGCCTTTTAATTGATAGATAGGACAGTGGATAGAGTCGGAAATCAGGGAGAGAGAGTGGGGAATGACATGCGGGAAAGAAGCCACAGGCCGGATGTAAACCCGGGCCGACCGTTTGAGACGACAGCCTCCATACATGGGGCTAACCACTGCTCCACCAGCACCCCTCATCCTGCACTTTAGACCAATCAGTACGACCTTCTAGGACAGTAGGTTGTTTATAAAACAACCAGACTCTTCCCTCTTCAGAGCGGTGAGGGGTAAACATACAGAAACAGCTAACAGCTAATCGCCTTGTGGCTGCTCCTTCTCAGGCATGTAGGTCGATTCAGTATTTGATGATGGAGCGGTTAATCTTCACTTAGCTGGAGAAGCATTTCTTAATTCAACAGAGCGATCAGCACAAACAGAACTCCGCCATTGTTGTTGTAGTCCACCTACTCGCTCATGGCTGTGTGCAAGGAGTCGGCCAAACCGTCGCTTTGCCTGTGTCTAGATTGATCTAAAGTTAGGTAGAGTCAGTATTGCCAACATGGTGACCACCTTCATTCAGCTTCACAACTCCTCTCTTCAAAAACCCCTGATGACGGCACTGAGTACGTCCATGATTTATACAGACCACAGTTAAAAATATCTGAAAACACCAGCGAGGTCCTTTCAAACAAAGCTGCTCAAATCTGTATGAAGGGAAACAAACTCCTGATGCACACCTCCTCATTCAGGACACTCAGACTCTTCTGTCTGTGAAACAGCTGCTTTCCTTTGCTCAGCACTGTGACATCACTCTGAGCTGCAGGTGAGCTACAGGTGAGCTGCAGAGCTGCAGAGGCCTGACCCGACTGTTTGTGGACACGACAAACACAAAGCTGCTTTTGAAAATATGTAACACAACATGCACCTCGATTTTTATTTCTGCGCAGACTGAAATGGTCAGAATGAACTTTTATAAGATATCAGAAACTTTAAAGTCTGATTGTACCTGCTGCACAGCACAGAGCAAAGGGCACATTACCTGAGAGTTTAGGGATGAAGACCTTATAAGGTGTTGTATTTCAGAATAAAGTCGTCATATTAGGAGATCAAGTTGGAGAAAAGAGCCTAAATATAAAAGGCTTTTCTAAAATAGTACATCTTTATTTTTTGCAACTATTCAGGTGATTCAGCTTTTATCTTACAGTTATTCTTGTAGCGTTACGACTTTGTTCACAAAGTATTTTTTTAATGTGGCTCTAATCTCAGTTATTGTTACAACATATTCTAAAATATAACCAATGTACAAATCTTTTTACTTTAACAGTCTGTGGTTTTATGCATATCAATAAAAACATGTTATAAAGTCATACTGCCCCCTTGTGTTTACCTTCAGAGACATGTAGAATAAAAATATTTCTAACATTAAAATCACAAATGTTCAAAATCTCTTAAAAATGTTAAACTTTTAACTAAAAGCACAAAAAGTTACAACATAAAGACAAAAGCCTGACATCAAGCAAAAAAATGTGGATTATAAAATCATACTCATTATTACAGGACAGGTATGACAGGTAGTATAGGTAGGACAGGTAGGATAGGTAGGACAGGTAGGACAGGTAGGACAGGTAGGATAGGTAGGACAGGTAGAACAGGTAGGATAGGTAGGACAGGTAGGAGTGGTTGGGCAAGTAGGACAGGTCTAATCAGACTCAAAGCTTCCAGGCGTTTCTCATCATGAGGATGAAGTAGACGTCGTTGTCGATGGAGGCGCTGACTCCGCAGTAATAGTTGATGAACTCCTCTTTGGTCACCTGCCAGAACAAAGAATTTTACATCAAACAGAATGACAACGTTCAGAACGAAACGACAAGAAGGAGGAGTCTGAAGAGGTAAACTACAAAGTAAAATCATGAGAGTTAAACTACAAAGTAAAAGCATAAGAGTTAAACTACAAAGTAAAAGCATGAGAGCTGAACTTCAAAGTAAAAGCATGAGAGTTGAACTACAAAGTAAAAGCATGAGAGTTAAACTACAAAGTAAAAGCATGAGAGTTCAACTTCAAAGTAAAAGCATGAGAGTTAAACTACAAAGTAAAAGCATGAGAGTTAAACTTCAAAGTAAAAGCATGAGAGTTGAGCAGTTAATCGACCATGAAGCAGCTGGTTTCTGTCCAAAAAGAGGAATCCTTTTTATTAATGAATCACCTCCAATAAAAAAGCATCTACACCGAGTTTATTTCAGCTCTATAAAACTTTGATGAATCTAAGATGAATCGTTAACAGACATTCAGTCAGACGCCCCTCGGTTTGTCAGATATGAGAGCAGTTATCAGGTCAACAGGTGTTGCAGCGATGGAAGCAGCAAGAGAAGTGGTTCAGATAGAAGTGATTGTACCCGACCTAAAAAGCCTCTGCATGTTTCTAATAAGCTCCACGAGCAGAAACGTGCTCAAACTAGGATCAATATTGGAGATGCTTTTGAAAAATGGAGAGAGGTTAGAACACAGAAAGGTTTACAGACCGATGCAGAGCTGGATAAACACTGAAGCTTCAGTGTCCACCACATGGTGACCTGCGTGAGCATCCACTCTAGAGAGGAGGGGGCGGGGGAGACAGCTCTCTACAATGTTTAGAATTTAGACTGCAGTACCCATTTTAAACACTAGGGGTCAGAGTTACACATACTGCTTTAATGTGCAAATATTCCCATAAATAATCGCTCCACTCCAGCAGAAGGAAACAGAGAACAGAGTCATTGAGGAAACAAAGAAAACAGAGAGAAACGGGAAGCCGCTGCGACCTCCCTCCACCACCACCACCGCCAACATGAGCTACTTTATACCAGAACACAGCTCGCTCAGAGTTTCCAGGCGCTCCTCATCATCACGATAAAGTAGACGTCTGTGTCGATGGAAGCACTCACACCAGAATAGTAATTCATGAACTCTTCCTGAGTCACCTTCAGAGAGGAACACCAGCGTTAGCATTAGTACATCGTGTTCGCTCGGCCGTCCTCTGACAGCAACACTCAGGACGGGAAGCTTAGACGCAGAACAGCTGTGCTCTGTGTCTGTAAGTCCTTTAAAGGCGAGGAACATGACAAACCTTTCACACTTCTTCACGTCTACACTGAACAGAGTCTGGGAGGTGACATGGATGACTGTGAGTCACAAGTTCAGTGTAAAGTCTGGGATTATATTTTTTTATTATTATTAAATCCGCCTTCGTGGCTTTGCTTTTTCCTATGTTGCGCCTGTCCCTCCTGTGCTGTGTTGCAGGTACCTGCTGTGTGATTGGATGAGCGCTCATTGCCTGTCACTCATTGGCCGGGAGCTGGTGCTGCATGCTGATGTGTGATTGGAGGGGAGCTGATGGTGGGTGCTGATGCGTTAGTGGGTGAGAACAGTTTTTCTCAATCCTTTTCATACCACTGTTTTAACGTTCTCTAAACTGTTGGAAATACTAATAAAACGTCTGCTAACCACTAAATCACACACGCCTGTGAATAAAGACGCATGTGCGTGTTACTAATACCTGCATGCACTTTATAAATGGGAGGAGGGGAAAGAAACCGCTCGTGCATTCAAACACAGAACACACAGAATATGAACTTTACCCCCCAGGTTTGAATAACACTCCTGTCACGCTCGGGTCATCGTCTTTAAGTCTCCGACAGTAACACGCTCATCAGGCTAACTGCGTCTGTTACCTTTCCGTCTTTGTCGCACGGCGAGTCGAAGCTGTCCAAGAACTTCCTGAACACCTGATCCTCCGTCCACTCCCCGTTCTGATACTTGGGGTGGTACTTGGCGTTATAAACCCCCCTCAGGTCTTCGATGGTGATCACGCCGTCTCCCGTCTTATCCAGCTTCCGAAACGCCTGCATGACCACCTCCTTCCTGGCTTTAGACATCTGCGGCTGCAACAACAGAAAGACTACATGTTTATTCATCGATGGGATTCTAACTGAATCCAGAATAATGACCTCCGTGGCTGAATGAGGGAAGGTTTCCCGCTCCTGGCCGCACAGTGAGGGGTCTGCAGTTTTACCCTCAGGGTGATGAGGAACTCGTCAAAGTCGATGGTCCCGTTCCCGTCGTGATCGAAGCGCTGAAAGATATCCGCTGCTTCCTGTTTCTCGATCAGGATACCATAATCGTTCAAACCTTTCAGAAACTCCTTCAAGTCCAGAGAGCGATTTTTATCATCATCCATTATTTTAAAGGTCCTGAGAACACACCAACACAGCATGAAAGAACGTATTAAAAATCTCCAGCTGTCAGATAAATACAAAGTGAGGAGCCGTTCATGTCAACTTCAGAAGAAAATAACCAATATTCTGAAGAGGAGCATTCTGGGTAATGTAGGCACCAGTTTTGAAAAAGATTGTAGATTAAAAGTGGATATCTTCGTCTCAGTGGAGGAGGACTTCTCTAATCCGACCTTTACTAACAGTATCAGCCTCAGACATTTGATCTGGGCTGATGACCTCCTGATCAAGTCAACCTGTTCAGGACCAGGTTCATGAGGAGCTCACCTGCCCAGTCCTTTGATCCCAGACGATCCTCTGGCCAGACACTGCAGTCTGAGCCGCTCCACGGGGTCCGAACACTCCGACAGACGACGCCTGGCGTTCATCGCCATCTCTTGATCGTGTCTCGACGTCCCCGCCATCACTGACGGCAACAACAGAACAGGAGAACAATCATCACGTAAGGACAACAAGCATGTACACAAACACATACAAAGACCTTCCTCACTTATGAACCTCACGGTTCTGAACGTCTGGGAGGAAATTGTCATATATGAGGTGCAGATTATCTCCTATATTAAATCATCATGTGCAGATAAAGTATAAGTAAGTATATTCTGATAAAAACATTACAAAATCTATACATAGAGTTCATTCTCAGTCTTATTCTTATAAATACAATACTCTTATGCTGGTATGGTCTTATGGTACTATAGAGGGTTAATAGTTTCTGGTTCTGCTCCTAACTGTGTCTGCAGGCTCGTGACAGCAGGAAGTGGAGGGCTGTCGCGCTCGTATATTATAAATCGCTATTATAAACACATTTCAATAATCATTACATAAAAAACACATTAAATATAAAATAAGTTCAGAGAGGTTATATTCGACTGAAACTCACCGACACTTTTTAATCTTCAGCAGGAAACAACAACCGGGAGTCTTATTACTGCCCCTCCCCAAACGATCCGCGTTACTATGGAGATGTCATGTTGTCTGCTCTGATTGGCTGCCCAATCCAACATCAACAGAAATGGATCACCTTCTCGACGTGTTATCACCATGGTGTCGATACTGAACCGGTTCACTCACGTTCACTTACATTTTCACGACATTAAAGTAACGAACTTTACCGAGTGAACTTTACCGAGAGTCAAGTGTTACCTAACTTAACCAGCAGCGTTAGCTCAGCACTTCCTGAGTTTCTTTCACATTAAAAGCCTTAAACTGTGTATTGGTCTGTTATTGGTATGATAAGGACGTATTGTTGTGTCAGTGGGAGAATCAGACACCATAGACTGTATATTACTATTTACACACATTAGTAAAGTTATCACATCATCCTCTCGAGCAGCTGCTCATGTTTTAACTCCATCAAATCAGTGATGACTGAAATCCTGTGTGCTTTGTTTCTGCAGTCGACATTTAGCATATCATCTGTGTAGTTTCTCTATTCCAGGGCTGTAGCTGGATAGTTTAGAAAAACCTGTGTTTTTGGTTCACTCTTTATATTTTAGAGAATACAACACTGCCCTCTTGGGGACATCCTCGTTTCTGGCTGTATGAGTATTAAAGCAGGTAAATGAGGGAAACAAAAATCACTAGACTATTAAAAATGACAGTGACAGAATCAGTCGTCTCACTGTCTTGAGATATGTGAAGCACCCGCGAACCATATCAGAGTCAGAGATCTGATGGATCTCTTTCACATTGGATTTTTTTCCCTTTATTAACAACAACAGAAAGCACAAATGATCTTATAACAATAAGACAATATCTTAGAAATGTGTGTGCGTGTGGCTGGTCTGACAGTTTAAATCAAATTAATTGTTTGAACTTGTGTCTGAATGTCACATTAGTTTAATTTGAGTATTTTCACTCTCAGGACAGAAATTAAATGATTTTGCACTTTGTAGCAGTGTGAAAACAGAAACCTTCAAAAGGGAAAGGAGCTGGGGCTCCTAATTCGCTGACTGATTCTTCACCTGACTCATGATTGACTCCTGGTTGCCAGGCGGAAAATGGTATCAAAGTTGACATTTTCAGCATTTTAGAAACTGGAATAAGAAGTGATAAGGAAAGAAACCTTAAACTAGGGGGGTTAACATCCTCAAATATCTACATTTTAACCAACTGATAGATAACAAGTTAAGAATCAATTAAGAAACCAGCGGCAACCTCGGGTGTTAAAAAAAGGGAGCCAATGTGGAACTGCAGGTCCTTGAGTGTTCGCTTGAGGCTGGCTCCAAAAGAACCAGAATAATTTACACCCCTCTTAATAGAATGTCGTCTTGACAATAGAAAAACATGTTTACAGCCTTGTTAAAGCCCGCCTTAAGCCTGGCTCACACTGCAGGAGTTTTAAAATCCTTCCCAATTTTGAATTCGGGCAGCATCACACACTTTAGGAGAATCGTAACAGATATTCATCTCCATAATCTCAAACATGCTCACACTACAAGATATGAAAATCTTGGCACATCAAATACTACAGGATTTCCTTAAGATTATTGTTCTGTGACCTTACGTAAACAATGGAGCCGGCAGTTAAATGTGGGATTATTTTTATTTTGAGTGAAGAATTGTCTTGGGAGATGTGGGCAACATGGATTGTCTATTCTTCAGCAAGAGCTGGAAGTATGATTGTAACTATGAGCATTAAAGTAGTCCGGCGCACATGTGCGGGTTGCCTCCTGCCTCTGGTCGCCTCTATTACAATTAGCCTATTACTGTCCTCCCTCGTCTCTCTCAGTGATTGGAATCACACATGACTTTTGCCAGACCCTTTCATTACGTAATCATTCTACGTAAATTCTAAATATTAAAAGGTTTTTAAATAAATCGAGGTGTTCCTGACGATCGCAAAGCAGATCAGAGATGTTATGATTGGATCTTCAAACGATTCACACTACTGAGCAGGTAATCTGTTCCAAGAAGCCTTGAGTCAGGAGCAACCCTGTGATTGTCGGGAAAGAAGAATCGGACCTCAAATGGGCCCCATTATCCTGCAGTTTGAGCCAAGCTCCAGCTCTTTGCCTGGAGTAAAGGTCTTGACACACCAAGCAGATGGCCAAGAACTAGTGGCGACGAAGGCCGCCCGTGTCGTCAGCGGGTGATGCCTTTTGTCTTGACCAGAAAGTTGCACTAGAACACACCGCAAGGACTACAGCCGACGGCCAACCACAACGTACATTCTTCTCATGTATGAGGAAACACCTCTCCATGCCAGCAGGGGGTGGTAGTCTGTAATCGTCATTCCAAAAAGGTGAAACCGGAAGAGGACAAGGAAGAACGTGGATAAATAAACGGTTGTTGTGACATGAGAAGTCCATTATCTCCCCGCTGTTGCTCAACACTCGTGATACAGGAACTTCTAATCTGGAATAATGTCTGATAAAAAGGTGAACATGGCGTTGTCAGCCCTTGGTCTTTTATTAGTTGAACAAGAATAGAAGATGTGCTTCCGTATTTCTTCTCGTGCACTGGCTCTCCTGTTTCACTTAGCTGAACAGCCAATCAGAGAGTCCTATCCCCCAACCGCGCTGGCGACGGCCCACGCCGATTCAACATGTGGAATTGGCCAAAAAAAAAAAAAAAAAGAGGCCAATTGGGGCCATCGGGTTGCAACAGAGCTAGACACTCCGCAAAAACTAGGGGGGAGACCGCTCACCGCCTATCTCCTTGGTTTGTCAGCGCCTTTAGGTTAACTGAAAGTTTGATAGAATCAGCATTCACAATGTGGCAACGACCATGAATTTCCAAAACATCCTGTCAGAAACCAATGGGTGACATCGCTCATCGAGAATATGAGGCATGTTAGAAAACTTCCAAACATCCCTAATGTAAAACTTAAGTAGCAACTACTGTCTACAAGTAGTAAAAAAAATTAAATATTAAAAAAATGGAATATAAGGGATAAACACAAAAACGACAAGCATCTGGAGTTCATTTTTTGCATTGACCATCATACTTCTATTAAGGCCTATTGAAATAACTAATGATTGTAAATGGACTTGAGCGTGTATAGCTGACTACTCAAGGAACTTTAAATATGAAACAATCTGTATTGAGAGGGAAAAACAGCTAATACCTGAAACTGCAACATTTCAAGAACTACAGAGCTCACAATGGTATTAGGTTTAATTGGGGAAAAAAAAAAATAGGAGGACGTTTGACAAAGTGGTTGAGGCCGTAGAGGCTGCTGCTACGGCTTCAACCACCGCAGCCTGCTGTAGTTGAGGTGGTAGAGGCTGCCGTGGTCGAAGCTGTAGAGGCTGCTGTTGTAGAGGCTGCGGTGGCTGACGTGGTAGAGGCCGCCGTTGTAGAGGTGGTCGACATCGTAGAGGGCGCCGTTGTAGAGGTGGTCGAAGTAGTAGAGGCTGCTGTTGTTGACGTGGTCAAGGCAGCTGTGGTTGACGTGGACAAGGCAGCTGTGGTTGATGTTGTAGAGGCCGCTGTTGTCGAGGTGGTGGATGCAGCTGTGGTTGACATCGTAGAGGCCGCCGTAGTAGAGGCTGCTATTGTTGACGTGGTCGAGGCAGCTGTGGTTGACGTGGTAGAGGCCGTCGTTGTAGAGGTGGTTGAAGTAGAAGAGGCTGCTGTTGTTGAGGTGGACAAGGCAGCTGTGGTTGACGTGGTAGGGGCCGCCGTTGTAGAGGTGGTCAATGCAGGGGTGGTTGAAGTAGTAGAGGCAGCTGTGGTTGACGTGGTAGAGACCGCCGTTGTAGAGGTAGTTGAAGTAGTAGAGGCAGCTGGAATTGCAGTAGTGGGTTGGTCACCAGTAAACGGCCTAATTGGAATTGCAATAAATCCCCAAAACTCAAAGTTGTCATAATCAAAAAATGTCTCCCGTGTTACCGTTATCACAGGAGGGCTTTGACCACCCTCTCTCGTCTCTGGGATGGATGGCTCTGTTGGTTGTGGTCTGGGTGGCGCCATTGTAGAGGTGGTGGATGTAGAGGTGGTTGAAGTAGCAGAGGCAGCTGTGGTTGACGTGGTCAGGGCTTCTGTTGTTGGGGCTTCTGTTGTTGGGGCTTCTGTTGTTGGGGCCTCTGTCGTCGAGGCATCCGGGTCCTCTGTCGTGGAGGCGGTCGGGGTCGTAACCTCTGTGGTTATAGAAGAAGTCAGGGCTTCAGTGGTAGTCGTAGTCTGGGCTACAGTGGTTGACATCGCAACAGTTGAGGTAGTTTCTGCTGTGCTGGTTCCGGTAGTTGCAATAGTGGGTTGGTCACCAGCAAATGGCCTAATTGGAATTGCAATAAATCCCCAAAACTCAAAGTTGTCATTATCAAAAAATGTCTCCTGTGTTACCGTTATCACAGGAGAGCTTTGACCACCCTCTGTCGTCTCTGGATGGATGGCTCTGTTGGTTGTGGTCTGGGTGGCACCGTTGTAGACGTGGTGGATGCAGGGGTGGTTGAAGTAGTAGAGGCTGCTGTCGACGAGGTGGCCGGGGTCTCTGTCGTGGAGGCGGTCTGGGCCTCAGGATTAAATGGCTCAATAGGAATCGCTTCAAAATCCCAAAGCTCAAACAGATCTATTTCCTGATAAGCACTGGGGTGACGAGCCCGCATAATAAGTGGTGCTGCATTGAAACAAGCTGCCAGCATTGTGAACATTTCCCCAGCCAAGTCCCCATAAATCATTTCAAAGATGGAATCCTGGAAGAAACCAATCACTTATTAGCATTCATTCTCAAAGTTTATAGTTTGGGTCATGTGTCAGGCCATCCTTACCATGTCTGCAGGATTTGATATCTGCACAAATGCTGCACCTTTGATCTTTGAAGTTAGCAGTTAACAGTGACATTTTTACCCAGAGCTTTGACCTTCTTCAGTTTCGTTCTAAGTGGCAGTTCCACTGTGACATCATTCTTTCTGCAACTCACCATAGGGGATGAAAGTTACACACTAATGGGTGAAAGCATGGATACTACAGCGGCATGCTCAAGGGGCTTTCCTGAACCTGTGTCGAGAGCTAGAGATAAATAAAACCTCCCAACAGCCAATCAGAGAGATCCCTCAACATCTTGAATTGGCGACCCTGACGGGTAGCGACTGAGCCAGACACATCGCATGAACTAGGGCGACGACCGATCACCAACGGTCCAACAAGGATGGACGGCCTACGTTCTCTTTGGTGTGTCAGGGCATTTAGAGTCAACTTGTGTCGAACTTCCTGAACTAGCTGCAAAGTGCTTTCAGTTATATTAATTTAAAAGACGAAGCACACCCATGATCCGATATGGCAGCTGATGTAAGGGATCCTCAGCATCAGCCAGGGCCCGAAGGTACGAGCAGAACCACGACATTCATCCGGTAAAGACAGCAACCTTTTCCCATCTGCGGACACAGAATGAGGACAAAACTCATGTTTCTTTTAGAAAGAGAAAAGATTTGATTGAGTTCAGGTGACTGACTGTTAAATACTTAATGAGTAAAAGTGACTCATGATGAGCTTACACATTTCTTCATGTGGCATTGTTGTATGTTTTTAGATTCTCTACACAATCATGTATCCATCCATATAAAACGGAAACAATCTCCACACTAAAATCCAAAAGCTACAACAAAGATTATTTTGACTTTTTAAAATGGAGGGTAAAGGTGGTATAAACTTACCGTGGCCAACAAGAACAAACACACAACAAAAGGCCCAAAAGATTTCCATAAGTAGTATCAATGTGCAAACAAAAAACACAAAATCTCATTAAATTTACACAAGTGTGCTGTCAACGTAAAAAGAATAAATAAATATCAAACTTGCTGCAAAGTGAAAAACGCACAACCCCAGTAAACAAAGGAAACAGACTATTTTAAAATGTCACAACATCAGTGCTACAGGCCTGTAGGGGGCGCTCTGCTCAATTCATTTATATGAAACACTGCAAAAACCTCTACTACAGGTGTGTATGAGAGGAACAAATGCAGCAATGAAGCATGAATGGATGAGTTAATACTGACGGACTCTTTACTCAGCAGCCTCTACAATCAGTGTGTGTGTGTGTGTGTGTGTGTGTGTGTGGTACGACCTGTGATGTTAAAGTACTTTGAGTAGTCAGAAGACTAGAAAAGATTTAAACAAGCTCAAGTCCAGTTACCGTTTAGTTGAGTTGGTAAAAAAATGTTTACCGTCGACTGTTAAACCAGCTGCAGGTGAACAAATCAAACTCACCTTCCAGACTCAGGGCTAAGTGTCGGACCAACGAGAAGCGAACAGACAGCGTCCTGTCGCTGCAGCGATACTGAGGCCGTCCGATGTTTAACACCGATCCTTCACCGCTACGCTGAGACGCTGAAACAGAAAGTTCATGTGCACCGATTAAAACCGTCACAAAAAGTTTAATTATTGAACTGCACAACTAAAACTTCACTAACCGTCAAACTTCTATCAACAGCCCTTTTATTTCCTTCTGTCTATAAAGTGACTCTCCCTTTATTTGGGACATTTGGGATAATTAACTGTGCAAAGGACTGAAGCTGGTTAAAAGATTGGCGTCATTTTAATTAGAAATTGATAAAAGTATATTCGTGGTTTAGTTTTTGTGTCACTTCTTGGACTTTGGGTGATATTTAGGGCCGCCTGATGGTTAAACGTGTTGACGTTAATGTGACGCTCTCACTCAGACTTCTTCTTTCACTTCTTTACCTTCCACAAACCTCCACACCGGCTCCGGATAAAACCTCCTCCCGATCCGGGTCTCATCCTGCGGCTCGGAGTCCGAGGTCAGGACCTGCGGTCCGGCCGGACCTCTGACTGCGTCCCGGTGCGGCTCCTGTTCCGTGCTGAGCCGGGCTAAAGCCAGCAGACTGACCCAAACCCAAGCCATCATCACCGCTCCGAAACGTGCAGACATGCCGTGATCCGCTCCGAGTCGCTGCCAGCCGACAAACAACGAGGAACCGTCTGAGGCTGCACGAGGAGCCGGACACACACCTGCGGATAAATGAGCGCGAGACACCTGGAGCACCTGCTGATTGGACAATTAGGACCGGAACTTGAACCGCTGCATGCGCACGTTTCTGTTAAACGTCAGTTTTACAGTTTAAGATTATTTATTTATAATTAAAATAAAACTAAGTTTATGATTATTGCTTTCTATAGATAATGAACTATCTTTAGATGCAGTTCATAGTGGATTTTAGGATTATCTAAACTTTAAGGTTTAGTTGAATTATAGAGCATCACTGCATCTTTATTTTACACTTACACTCAGAGTCATATGTTCATGAAAGCAGAGCATCACTTTATCACAGATTTTCTTAGACAGTAGAGGGCGCTCCAAGGAGAAAAGGTTGGAAACCAAACCACTGATAAAAACATTGTTTATCTCCTCTTCCTCACCTGATAAATAAAAGTAGTTTATCTCCTCTTCCTCACCTGATAAATAAAAGTAGTATACCTCCTCTTCCTCACCTGATAAATAAATGTAGTTTACCTCCTCTTCCTCACCTGATAAATAAAAGTAGTTTACCTCCTCTTCCTCACCTGATAAATAAATGTAGTTTACCTCCTCTTCCTCACCTGATAAATAAAAGTAGTTTACCTCCTCTTCCTCACCTGATAAATAAAAGTAGTTTACCTCCTCTTCCTCACCTGATAAATAAAAGTAGTTTACCTCCTCTTCCTCACCTGATAAATACATGTAGATTATCTCCTCTTCCTCACCTGATAAATAAAAGTAGTTTACCTCCTCTTCCTCACCTGATAAATAAATGTAGTTTACCTCCTCTTCATCAGTCTGATAAATAAATGTAGTTTATCTCCTCTTCATCACCTGATAAATAAATGTAGTTTATCTCCTCTTCATCACCTGATAAATAAATGTAGTTTATCTCCTCTTCATCACCTGATAAATAAATGTAGTTTATCTCCTCTTCATCACCTGATAAATAAATGTAGTTTATCTCCTCTTCATCACCTGATAAATAAATGTAGTTTACCTCCTCTTCATCACCTGATAAATAAATGTAGTTTACCTCCTCTTCATCACATGATAAATAAATGTAGTTTATCTCCTCTTCATCACCTGATAAATAAATGTAGTTTACCTCCTCTTCCTCATGATAAATGAATGTAGTTTACCTCCTCTTCCTCAGTCTGATAAATGAATGTAGTTTACCTCCTCTTCCTCACCTGTCTGATAAATGAATGTAGTTTACCTCCTCTTCCTCACCTGTCTGATAAATGAATGTAGTTTACCTCCTCTTCCTCACCTGTCTGATAAATAAATGTAGTCTACCTCCTCTTCCTCACCTGTCTGATAAATAAATGTAGTTTAGCTATATAAAAGTGTTAAAGTAGTCAGATGTTGTCGACCTTAAGGTAAATCTGTTAACGGCTCGATAGTGTCATGGAGGCGTGGTTATAGTCATACCTCAGGCTGTGGGGGAGGGGCCTAATATGAGATCCTGCTCATGGGCCCTGACTGCAGGTTTGGTGGACAGTTGATGTTTGTCATTACCCAACCCCGAGCTGAACACTGCAAGGGGGGAGGGGGGGGGGTCCATGTGGGCTTATTGGCTCTAGAGCGCCCTCTGTCTGTGGTAAGTCGACACAGCTACTCTCAGTATGGATGAGAACACCTCAGGGTTATTCAGGACACAGGCACACACACCTTAAACAACATGAAGTCAACAGTCTTTCAAACCCTTCACAGTTCACAATGATTGTAGTGATGTCATCATAATAAACATGGAGGCAGACCTCAGCTGTTCTGAGTCCAGGTGGGATAAATTGCTGAGTCATCATCACTTAAGAAGGATTTTATTAAACTGTTAAAATGTTACGATCGTTTCATTTAATAAGGCAACATGTACAGCGAGTGGGCGGAGCCTGAGGAGGCTAACGGCGGGGCTTTAGGTTCACAGTTTGGCCTTGTTCATCCTGCCCATCAGTTTCTCCAGTTTCATGGCGAGCGTCATGTCACCTTTGATCCGAAGCTTCCCCGACATGAATGCCATCGTCGGCTTCAGCTTCCCTGAAACCGCCACACAGAGATACAGCTGTTACCATGGAAACAACAGCACAAAATCTCACCACGCTCATCGCTGTGGTTACAGCATCACATTCGATAACTGTTTTTTTTTTACCAGCAGCAGGCTCAGTTCACGTTATTACCATGGTGATGACTCACCTGCAAACATCTTGCTGAAGTCATTTGAGTCCATCGTCATGACAACATCAGCCTTGATGGGCGGCTGGCCCTGCCCCGCGCTGCCGGAGCCGCTCTTCAAGTCCAGAAACCAAACGCCAGGGTTCTCTCCTTATATGGACACAAACACATCAGTGTCCCGCTAGTTGTCCTTATATGGACATTAAGACCATCAGAGGATGTCCTTTTATGGACATTAAGACCATCAGAGGATGTCCTTTTATGGACATTAAGACCGTCACCTTTTATAGACACAAACACATTCACATGATCTCCTTATATGGATACTGTTGGACACCTATGTTACCTGATAGGTCGAACTGATAAATGCCCTGCGTCGACTTGACGACGTCCTCGTTGAGGACTCCTCTGATGACGTTGAAGGTGCTTTCTATTGGTCCACTGGAGGACGTGGCTGATGTTGGTGGTTTGAAGGCAGGAGTCGCTCCTATCAACGAAAAAGACAAAGAAGGAGCCTTCATCAAACACTAGGGGGCGATGGACAGACATCTAAGGAACTCCTGAACATTTGAAACTATTATCGCTACAGTTTTAAAAAATCATCAGATTTATTGATTATCTGAATGTTTCACCGTGTTGCTCCATCTGCTCCACCAGAGACTCAGGAGCTTCATCCAGGAAAAAGTCTGGCAATAAGGGGTGACCTGTGGACCAATCAGAGAGCACAGTAAGCACCACACAACTTGTGTTTGTTTGTGAACAGGCTGTACCTATGCTAGGTTAGAGTTAGCTCAGTTAGCCTGTACTTACCTGGCTGGACGGCGTACTGGTCAAAGTCTTTGATTCCCTCCTCCTTCAGGATGTCTTCATCAACCACGAAGTGACCCGTGTAGTCTTTCGGCTTGGACAGGATGGCATAGGCGGCATCGGCCATGATGTCAGCTGTACGACACTGCTTACCCACGCCATCTCCGCCCAACATGTCCATGGCTGCTGTCTGGATCGCTATGGCAACATCACACAGGTAAGATCAGGGTTTAACCATGCTAGCTTACTACAGGAGTCTATAAGAAGTATGTTAGCATGCTGACAAGAACCCACTAACCGGTTCGGGGCCAGAGGGCGTTGACTGCGATTTGTCCTCTGAACTCTTCAGCCATCCCCAGCACGCACATGGACATGCCGTACTTCGCCATTGTGTATGCTAAAACAACAAACAGACAAATAAACAGAACGATTATCACTGCACAGGTGCATGATGGGATGCTGGCTGGTCCGTTGCTATGGTTACCTGTGTGGTTTTTGAACCAGACGGGGTTGAGGTTGAGTGGAGGCGACAAGTTCAGGATGTGAGGACTGCGACTCTTCAGCAGGTGAGGGAGAACGAGTTTGGACCTGAAAAACACAAACGCTCCTTGACTAAGGCTCGTGTCCTGAAACTCGTTAACTGACGTTTGTTACCTGAGACTCGTTCCCTCAGGCTAGTTAACTTAAACTCGTTAACTGAAACTCTTCACCTGCAATAAAAAACTAGTAAAGTTTAACTTCAGCTTCTGTGTGTGTGTGTGTGTGTGAGAGAATGTGTTTCTGTGTATGTGTGAGTGCGTCTGTGTGTGTGTGTGTGTGTGTGTGTGTGAGAGAATGTGTTTCTGTGTGTGTGTGTGTGTGTGTGTGTGTGTGTGTGAGAGAATGTGTTTCTGTGTGTGTGTGAGTGCGTATGTGTGTTTGTGTGTGTGAATGTGTGTGTGTGTGCGTACGTCAGGTAGGTCCCCCTCAGGTTGATTCCCAGCATCAGGTCGACCTTCTTCATTGGCGTCTCCAAAGTTCCCGTCAGACTGATGGCACTGGCATTGTTAATCAGGATGTCGATTCCTACCAATCAGAAACAAGCTCTGTTATGATGTCATCGAGAGTTTTGGGGTCGTAGGTTATCCTGGTCTGTTAGGCCTTAAGTCAGTGGCCGTTTCAGAATAGCCACAGTTCAGTACGTACTATTCAGTATGGAGTTTCAGTATACTGAACTTTCGTGGTCATTCAGTGGTCATTTTTTGGGTCCACCTCAGTAGACTGAACATTTCAGTATGGATACTAACTTCCAGGTTTCATGCAGTATGGATCAGATGCATCCTTTCAGGAAATGAATTGTATTTTAACTCCCACAATGCAGTGCTAAGTTAAACATAAATCGTCACTTCACGTCCGCCTCCAAATCAAAACAAACGAGCGTGGATTAATTGAATCAATTTTTAATCTAGAGTTAAAGTCCCGACTGAAATCACTACTTTTAATTAACAACAGAACATATAACAAATATCTGCATTATTATAAAACCTTTCCCCCTCTATTTAAATAATGATTTCACTATTTAAATGCGTCTTTATTGGTTTATTTTATATTCCATATATTACTGTCTTTCATTTGTACTTTCCTTTATGTACTGTATGTTATTTAGTTATTTAATCTGCCTTTTACTTGTGATATTGTTTTTTTTTTACCTGACTCTATATGCGCATTACTCCTTTTGAATAAAGCTAAAAAAATAAAAATAAAAATGGGTGAATGCGGCCGGTTCGGGTAACGTAAATGACGCCGCTTCCATACTGAATGAATCAGATGAAGTAGGAACAAATATCTGTCTACTGTGCGTGCATACTGAATAGTAGGTACTAACAGTATACAGCACGCATAGTAGGTACTGACTACTGACAGATTGAGTAGGTACTTGGCAATTCGGATGCAGCCAGGGTTTGGCTCTCTGCTCTCTTTGAACCTGGGCAGATCACCATGGTAACTGACTCTAGACTCCTCACCTGGTCAGTGATGTCATTTCAATGCATTATTACCTGGAGATGTTCTCTGTGGGAGTCACAGATCTTTAGCTGAAGGTATACGTTCATGGAACCGTAACGTTTGTAATGTTACAGAACGACGTCGTTCAGTTATAGTTTTGACACGTTTGTGTGTTACAGGTGTCAGGTGTCGTACAACGGGAAGTGAACGATGATGACAGCAGATTTGGTCATGATCTCCTGACAGGTGTGTTTTATCACAGATTCAATCGGACAAAGGATTTGACCTGAAGTGATTTCTGTGTATTTTCACGCAGTGGAAGGTTATCAGACCTGATTCAATCTGACCTCCACTCCGGTACAGGCAGAAAGCTGGAGTGCCGCAACAAAGGAGTTTATGTTGTTATTACACACCACAACACGAGATAATATGATGTACGTTTTATAAAACTGTATAAACACATCAACAAACACATATACGGTCATTGTGCTGAAGTGTTTTATTCTGAAAATAAACCGGATGTTTTAATGTTGTCTGACTTCCTGTCCCGCTCGATCTGCTCTGTGGTGATGCTCCATGCTCCGGAGACTCAGCGGGGTAAATGGAGGAAGATTTTCTAATTTCTAAAATGATTTGATGCGACGAGGTAAACTTTAGAACACAGAAATGAAATCCTAAATAAACTTTGGTTTATTTTCTGCTCAGTTTAAATGAAACAGTCTGAACGTCGTCTCACCTCCAAACTTGTCCACAGCTTTCTGAACAGCTTCTCCAATCTGCTGCTCGTCACGGATATCAACAACGCAGGCCAACGCTTTCCCACCGGCTGCCTCCACTGAAACACACAAAACACACATTAAATAACCTAAACACACAGGAACACAGAGACGACATCAAACACAACAAACAAAGACAAACAGACAGAGGAAAGTAAACCGCGATGACATCACAGCCCCTGACCCGAGGAGTGTTTTTAGTGTAATGTTTGAATGAATGGAGAAGCGTCACTGAACACAGACCGGTCCTCCTTAGAATCATAATCATTAAAACGATTCAAAAAGACGTTTAAGTCATCAAACTCAGAGTCTGACTTTCCAGCAGGCAGGTCCAAAACAGATTGAACGCCCTCCCAAGCAGGCGTGAGTGAATGTTCAGTGTTTAATAGCTAATTTACCGTCTTCTTCTTCTGTGGTCATTATTTTTGTACCTGACCCCCTCTAAGTGAAAACGCCTCCAGCTGATTCTGTTAGCGTCTCCACTTCAAACTGAAGGAGTTAAATTTAAGGAAAACACAGCTCGACAGACTCTGGTTCAGGAAGTAGATTTCTCCGTTCAAATCCTCCGTTGACATTTCACTAAATCTTTAAATCAAGAGATTGAAGCCTGTAACCATGACAACCAGCTACCACAATACTATAAAGCATTTGATTCGGCACAAAAACAGCGTTAAAAACAGAGAGGAAAGGTACCAGACTGGGTACTTACATAAAGTCAAGGAACTACACATCCCACAATACATTACAAATGATCCCTCTTCTCCTTAAATGTTACTTTAGTCGTTGTTATAATGTCTTAAGTACATTTACTGTTAGCTAACCATCTAGATAGCAAAAATATCTGTTCGAAACATTGCCATGGTAACAGCAAGCTCCACCAATCAGAGACCTCGCTGTGACATTGTGATTGTGGGTATTATAGTTATTTTCACAGATGTCGGAATAAACCATGTTGTTCTTAAAACGGTGTTGATATCAGATGAACTTGTGTCTCCTACATGAGCAGACACCTTCGTTTCACACTCAGGTAGCTCGTGGTCAGTCTACCTGTGACATCATGGCTCATGATCAAATCCACTATGGGGAAAATTAACAGGATTTTTTTCTTCGGTAACCACACTGTTGAGCTCTATAAACTTTCACATTATTTTACCAAACTAACAGGAAGAAAGTTTTAGCCCATTAGCATGTTAGTCCGTTAGCTCCTCACCCTCCTGGGCGGCGGTGTAGATGGTTCCTGGCAGTTTGGGATGGGGCTCAGCGGTCTTGGCGGCAATGATGATGTTGGCTCCGTCTCTGGCGGCCTTCAGAGCTATGGCTTTACCGATCCCTCGGCTCGCTCCGGTGATAAAGAGCGTGCAGCCGGCTAACTTCCTGAAACACACAGAGACGGTTTTATTAACACATGGCGTCGTAAAAATTAAAGTATGGAACATTAAGAAAACCTTATTAGCCAACATGCTAACACAACAGGCTCACATGAAGGTCTGGCGTGCTAACAGTTTCCTCCTGCTTACAGTCTTTGTGCTAAGCTAGGCTAAGTGAAAAGTGTGTGTGTGTCAAAGGAAACCTGCTGGGTTTCTTTTTGTTTAAGTAAAATCTGCATTTTGAAGAAACAACTTTTCCACCTCTGGGCTCAAACTGCCGTCTTCCTGGTTCTTCAGCTCTCGTGTGGTCGAAGACGCCATCGTGTGAGTGAATCAAATATTTACGTTCTTTTTTATGACCCAGTTTTAAAACGAAATAAGCTGTTATTTTACTGATCCATAGTATGAAAAGTTTACTGTATGTTTTATATTAAAATCTTTTTACCGACTCAGACACAGAGAGAGAATGATCTCACCCCGTACAGTGTGTGTCGATCGAGACATGAGCTAATCAGACCTATTTGGTTTTTTGAACCAGGCTGTAAACATGTTAATCTCTGCTGTAAAAACAGGCTTTTTAGAATGGGTGTGTATGTGACTTCCTGTGCTTCTGCAGCCAGCCTCTAGTGGACACTCGAGGAACTGCAGGATTTTACACTTCAGCATTATTCATTTTTCAACACTGCTGCTTGTTTTCTTACTGACACCAGTTTAAATAAGATCATGTAAAGCTGCTCCGTCGGTTTCACATCCTGAGAACGATATGGGCTCTTTAACGAAAGTCACTAAATAATAAAGTTACTTCATGAATATTTTTCCTATGTGTCATGTTTGAAAAATAGAAAGTACAATGAGAACCATTGTTAACCAAGGCAGCATGTTAGCTCCCAGGTTCCTCCTTCACTGAACTCATGTGAGAACTTCACCTACTTTAAAATAATCTCGCTCAGAGGTCAAGAACAGAGATCAACCCTGATCTCAGGTCAGTCTCTGTTATGATCAGTTCGGCTCTTTTACTGTCTACATCTACAGCGTGTCCTCTTTATTACACTTCACTTTGTTTGTCTGGTTGGATTTTAGTCAGTAAACTTCGCAGGATCAGTTTAAACACCACCAGAGTTCTCTCACAAAACCCCATAGAAGAAACAGTAACTTTACAAAAAGAACTTGCATATGGAGCACAGGGTTGAGATATCAGAACCAAACTCACTACATTTCTGTAGTAGGTAGTTCAACACATAATTCGGGCTCTTGAAGGGTCTACTTTAATGAAAGGTGTTGGCTAAAATCTCCGTTTCTGGTTCTTTGTTTTCCAGCTGGTGCGACGTGGACTCAATGAAAAGGTCCAGGAATAATTCAGAGGACTTCAGACGGGATTCTGTATTCAGCTCACAAATGCTCAACAACAAGGGTGCGAAGCAGGACAAGCGTTGACCAAACTCCGTAGAGAAAATCGTCAACTTTATACTCTTCCTGGTCAAAGGTCATAAAACAGATAAACGGGAATCAAACTTCGCACTAATAAAATAGTAAATATGTTTCGGTCACATCGGCTTCATCAGAGTTTCAAATGACAGCTGCTCGATTCAATTAAAGCTCATTTAATGCCGAGTTTTCATAAGGTTCAGTAATGACAGCCTGGAAGAGATCACATTATTTAACAGTGACTCTGTCTGAGAAGCTCACGTGCACTCACCCTGTGTTCTGCAGCATGGTGGCTCAGGTGTGGAAGGGAAAAGGTAAAGAAGCGTTCACAGTATCAAGCTGAAGAATGACAACCTGTCTTTTTCTCCACCTTTCACCCACTTCAAGATGTCAAGTCACCCGGATTTCACCTACTCTGCTCCACTTCCGGTCTGCAGGCAAAGATTCTCACGGGTCCACGAGATGTTTAACTCGTAGCTTATTACCCCAAGCGGCAACCTCCAGTGTTTGTGACAATGAAGCGATGCTGAAGTGAAAAATCCTGCAGTTCCTCGAGTGTCCGATTAAGGCTTGCTTCATAAGTCAAAGGAAAATAAAGAGAAAAAGGTAAAGGTACAAAACTGTGAACATATTTTTCTTCCAGAGTCAAGGAACTCTCTGACAACAATGCAGCAGCCAGTATGTCCTCCTTCTAACTTTAGAGTCTGGTCCTGAATGATCTGGATTTGTTTGGACTAGAGAAGGTAGGCGGTTTTATGGCACCCCCACACGGCCGTTTTGGACGCCCCTCGGTTTACCAGATATGAGAGCAGTTATCAGGTCAACAGGTGTTGCAGCGATGGAAGCGGGCAAGAGAAGTGGTTCAGATAGAAGTGATTGTACCCGACCTAAAAAGCCTCTGCATGTTTCTAATAAGCTCCACGAGCAGAAACGTGCTCAAACTAGGATCAATATTGGAGATGCTTTAGGAAAATGGAGAGAGGTTAGAACACAGAAAGGTTTACAGACTGATGCAGAGCTGGATAAACACTGAAGCTTCAGTGTCCACCACATGGTGACCTGCGTGAACATGGACTCTAGAGAGGAGGGGGGGAGACAGCTCTCTACAATGTTTAGAATTTAGACTGCAGTACACATTTTAACCACTAGGTGTCAGAGTTAAATGTCTGAACTCTGTGATATAGAAATGTCCATTTAAAGGCTTTATATGCATTTTTTTTGATCCAGCAGATGTCGCCCTTCGGCACCAGCATGAAACCAAAACAACTTGCAGTGCATTGTTGTGTTAGCATGCTAATGCTAGCGATGCTCGTATCTTTACACTGAATGTAAATTTACCCGAAATGAGCGTGATCTAGAAACACAGTTAAGCAGTGAGTACAGTATGTTATTCTTCTTTTCTCTAGTCCCTCAATTAAACAACTTTTATTCACGAGGGGAGGAGTCGGCCGGCCGTCCGGGCGATGTAAACAAACTGAAAATATGACTCTGAAAACATCACAGACAGCGGGACTCGGGTGTTACACCCATTGTAGACAGTCATGACTCAGAGTTATTTTCAGAGGATATACTTGATTTATATTATATTTAAGTGTGAAAAATCCCATATAAAGCCTTTAAGCTTAACCATGCAGTCTTGAGAAATATGTTGTTGTTTTATTTTGATTGTCTTTAAATTCTAAGTGGTCTGTTTTATTTATTTTATAAAATATTATAACATCAAAAAATGACAAAGTTGTGGCCTGTTCGTGACACTGAGTAAAAATAAAAGGTGTTAAACTTATGAGTGTTGAGCTGTTTCATGAATTTTAACCGGTTATTGTTATTTATCGATCCCTCTGTTTCTCTGATCTGAGCTATGGATCTTAGGCGTGTCTGCAAGAGCCGCCATGTTTCCTCATGACGTCACCAAACGGGAAGTGAGCTCGTTGTTCTCCACGGTTTGCTGTCTGTGTGCGGAGCTGGAGGCTCGTGGACCAGAAGAACTCTTCATCCCCTCCTCCTCCTCCTCCTCTTCCTCGCGGATCATGGACGGGTGAGCGCGGGAAATACCTCCCGAACCTTTCCCGAACATTCCCCGTTTTCCCTCCTTCCTTACTCCCTCGCGTTTCCTTGGTGACTGAACCGCACCTGCGCGTGCCTCTGGCGTCAATCCCCACCTCCTGTTTGTTGTTGTTGTTGTTTACTTGTTTACTGTCACATTACCCGCCACTGAACCCCCTTTCTCACCCTTTTCATTTTCCCGCTCCTCACGCGCTGTTTGTCGCGTGTGCTTTGCCTTTTTCTGTTTTTGTTTTGGTCCGAAGTGATACGAAGAGTGACGATTCGGCGACGCGGTTTGATTGGCGGAAATGTCGCGATAACTGAGAGTAGACAGAGAGTATAGTGTTTATATTATTAAAATACGTTTATTTTATGCTTTAATGCTCTTAAGGACATAACACTGATCAGACCGGTAACAGGGGTCTTTATGTTAATTATAGATAACATAATTAAACAAAATTTTCACATTTTATTCTTTCAGCTCATCATGTTTCCTACAAAAGTGATCATAGATGATTTAGTCACCTGAATCCAAGGTCGTGAACATGTTCATTACACCGCTACTCCTCCATTCCACCTGATTTTAAACAATACAGAGTACCAAAGCTTTCAAAACACATCTTTTTCATGAAACAGGAGAGCAGGGGCGTGTCCAGACTTTAATAACTGGGGCGGCCCACCTGGGGCACGGACTCATGGAGGGGTGGCCTGAAGTTTGTGGACACACACACACAAATAAGTGTAATTTTTTTATCCCCCACTTATTATATGTACTTATAGGAAACAAAGTTTGGCAACATATACATCTTCTCAGTTTGATTCTTTTGGGACTTGAAAACAAAGATTTGCAAAGTCACAATTTAGGTTGGCATCACATCTGGGATCCGGATCTGAGTACGCTTGACCCCAAAGTCCGGTTCATTTGATCAGTGTGAAGACAAACATACTGTGCCTGAGTGCGCTTGAAGAGGTGGTCTCAGACACGATTCATTTGTCGAGTACGGTCAGGCTCAAACAAGGAAGTGAACTGCTATATGACGTAATCTTAAAGGAAGAATATGCAACTTTTTGATCCAGTAGATGTCGCACTTGAGCACCAGCATAAAACCAAAACAACTCGTGCTGCATTGCTGTGTTAGCATGCTAATGCTAGAGATCTTTATTATGCTCGTATCTTCACACTGCATGTAAATTTACCCGAAATGACCGTGATCTAGAAACGCTTAGGTGACATTCAGTACAGTATGTTATTCTTAACATCAGCTGATTTTCTGTCTGAACACGCCTCAGTATCAAACTCTGTGTTTGTGTTTCTGCAGAAATCAGAGTTCACTTCCTCTTTCAGCGGCTCGGAGAATATGAGCACGTCCAACCTGTCCACAGGTGAGCCCCGTCGCTCTGTCCCGAGCTCCACAGTCAGTATCTGTGTTTATGTGTACAACACTCCTTCAATCAGGTTATAGTCATTGTTGGATTCAAGCGTCACCGTTTACATGTGGCCAAATAAAACGATCCGATTAAGACGTGGATCAAACATTTCATCAGAATAAAATCCTTCTGACACGCTCGGAGCTTCCTGTCCGTCTAATCTCCCTGAAACAGTAGAAGAAGAATGTGACTGATATTTGTTCTTCGTGTTTCTGTCAGTCAAGTTTTTCTCATCGCACTGAGATTTATTTCCATCAGAAGTCAAACACTCCCTCAGCTGTGGGCGGAGCCAGAGTGTGAGTGTGGAGGGAGCAGGATCTTCAGACATGCTCAGTGAGAATAGTTTCACCTAAAGCAGGGCGAAGTGATCGGACCAGGCGTGTACATTATATATATCTGAAAGACGATCGGCATAAACCACCACAAGACGGATTTCTGTCTGAATGAGCCGGATCAGATCGGTCTCTTTCGACTGACGTGTTCACATGAAGAATTTTTATTCAGATTTTTAGTGTGAACACAGCTGGTGACAAAGCTCGCTACGATACCTGGATGTTAAACTTTATGGTATTTTAACAATACAAAGCTTATTTTCTGTAGCTGATAAAACAGCTACAGAAACAGAACTCCTGAGCCCACTATATCTGCAACTTTCTTGTTTTTAATAATTAAACACTGCCCTCAAACTCCTGCACATGGACTTAATAGCACATTGTGTGGACAGCTTTTGTACATGTGTGAGGAGCTGGAGAGGAACGAGGTTGCTCTCTCCCTTTTGGTGAAAAATGTGACTGCAGATCTGAAGTTTTTAAAATCGTATCAATCTTAAAATAACACAGATTCTCCATCACCAAACAATTTGAATACCTTGCCCTGAAGCTTGAATTCTCCCATGGCCTATCTCTCACAATTATAGGTTGTTATAGACCTCCCTCTGCCTCCCCTGAAGCCCTAGCCTCTCTTGCATCTTGCATGACCGGGTTTAATTCCAGTGAGCTTCTTTTGGTTGGTGATTTAAATCTTGACTGGTTGACTGCCTCGTCTGATAATCTAAAAGTTATCTGTGACTCACTAAATTTAACTCAGTTGATCAGTTCCTCAACTTGGCCCAATACTAAAAACCCATCAAAATCTTCCTTACTTGACCTTATGTTAACAAACGCTCCCCACAAGTACACGGATACAGGTGTGTTTGCAAATGACCTGAGTGATCATTGTACCATTGCAGCTACAAGAAACTCCAAGCTTCCAAAGTCAAAGCCCAATATTATATGCAAACGAGATGTTAAAAACTTTTGCATCTCCGCTTTTATGTACGATTTAGCTGCCTTTGAGTGGAGTAGAGTTGCTCTATTTGATGATGTAGAGCTGGCTCTTTAATACTTTTATGATGAATTCTGACGTATTGTCAATAAACATGCTCCTTTTCGAAAATTTAGGGTAAAGGGCCAGAAAAATCCCTGGTTTTCCTCTGAAATTGGAAACCTCATCAAAGAGAGAGACATTGCTTGGGCCAGGGCTCGGAAAACAAAGCTTATAAATAAATGTCCTTCCCTTATTAAGAGTGCTAAGTCTGACTTCTACTTACATGAATCCATAAAAAATATAAATGGCCCTAAAAAATTTTGGCAAGTCATAAAAACTTCTTCAAATCATGTGACAACTAATGACTTACCAAGTTCTTTAATTACTCAATCTGGTACACTATCTGATAAGACAGACATACTAAATTGTTTTAATGATCATTTTATTTCAGCTGGATCCTTGTTTGAGTCACTAACCCCTGAACTGACAAATGCTGGTCTGGCTAGTGTTAACACACCCTTGACTCCGCAGGCTGTGAGTGGACCCATCACTTGCTTGTTTGAGTTTACGTCTGTATCTGTCACTGAGGTAAACAATGCACTAAAGAGGCTGGACACAAGTAAAGCAGCAGGACCTGATAAAATTGGCTGCTGATTTTATTGCTGAGCCTCTCTCACATATTTTTAACCTGAGTCTTACCAGCAACAAAATCTGGAAGTCTGCCTTTGTTCTCTCCCTGTTAAAAAGGGGGTGAACCCACAAATGTAAATAACTATAGACAAATTTCTAAATTGTGTATTTTAGCTAAAATGTTTGAGAGGATCATCAGTGACCAACTAAAGGAATTTTTAGAATCAAATGATATTTTATCTCCTCTCCAATCTGGCTTTACAAAACAGCACAGCACTGTTACAGCTGGGCTGAAGGTCCTAAATGATTTAATTGAAGCTCTGGACAGCAAAAGATATTGTGTCGCTCTTTTTATTGATCTTTCAAAAGCATTTGACACAGTAGACCACAACCTGCTGATTCAAGCCTTACATCACACTGGCTTATCTAAACATGCAGCTGCCTGGTTTGCCAACTATCTATCCAACAGAACACAATGTGTTCAGGTGGCTGGAACTACCTCTTCTTTTCTGGACATTACTAAAGGGGTGCCCCAAGGTTCAGTGCTGGGACCCATTTTATTTTCAATCTATATAAACAGTCTCTGTAATAACTTGTCAAATGCAATGTGTAATTTTTATGCAGACGACACCATTATTTATTGCTGTTCAACCTCACTCACCCAGGCTTTTGAGTTTTTACAAGCTGCTTTTAATGTTATCCAGTCTCGTTTATATGATCTTAAATTGGTTTTAAACACAGATAAAACCAAGCTCATGGTTTTCCCTCATACAAAGGTGCTACCACAGAACATTCCAAATATTGTAACATCGAAAGGAAAACCTATAGAGCAGGTTTTAAACTACAAGTACTTGGGTTTTATCCTAGATCAGAAGCTTTCATTTAAAGCTCATCAATAATCTGGTCACTAAACTTCGCATGAAGCTTGGGTTCTTTTTTAGAAATAGAACCTGCTTCTCTCTCAGGGTCAGAAAGAAATTAGTGACAGCGACCTTCTTGCCGATTCTTGATTATGGGGACCTGCTTTATTTGAGTGAGTCATACAAATGTCTGAAGTCCTTGGACACTATTTTTCATTCGGCACTGAGATTTGTCACTGACTGTAGTCGTCTCACCCACCATTTTGAATTGTATTTAAAATAAAGCTTAATAATAAATTGTACTGAGAAGTTTTGAAGTCGCCTTTTCTGTCCCTTCACAGTGGATGGCACTGATAGGCTGTGTGTTTCTGAGCGCGCTCAGTGTGTCCCATCTCGGGTTCTTCACTTGCGTCAGCTTCCGCCTGACGTCTCTGAACAGGAAGTGCTAGCTCTGGCGCTTCCTTTCGGCCGAGTTAGTAAGCTGATAACGTTAAAGGCCAAAAACCAGGTAACTGTTTTCAGGCTAATAGCTAACTGCTAAGAGCTAACGGCTAACTGCTAACACACAGACACCACATGATGAAATCACCTTCAGTTCATCACTGTTATAACAGTTATTTTTTGTGTTAAATATATAAAATGTTAAATATTGTTTTCAGGCATTTGTAGAAATGGCGTCGGATGAAGCTTCTGTTGCCATGGTGAACTACTACACTTCGGCCCCACCCACCGTCAGGAACCAGCCAATCTTCATTCAGTACTCAAACCACCGCGAGCTCAAGACCGACAATCTGACCAATCAGGTGAGGAGCAGCAGCAGCTGCCCCGCCCACATCATAATTTTGTTAATCAACATTTTTTATTGAAAATAAAATCCTTTAATTCTTAACGTATTAAAATATTTCTTTACCTGTCATTGTGCATTTAATGAAGTCAGCTTGGTTTGTTTGTCGACAGAGGGTGGCGATGCAGGCCATCAGTGCAGCAGCATTGCATCCTGGGAATATGGCATCAGGAGGAGAGGGGCGGGGCTTAATTTTTGGTCAGAGTCCCGTCCTGAGAATCATCGTTGAGAATCTATTTTACCCGGTGACCCTGGAGGTCCTGCAGCAGGTCGCTCATATTTACATTCTTTATTGTTGTGTTGTTTCTGTGTTCTAGATAGTTTTTGTTTTATTTACATGTTTACGATACATGAGACCTCAAAACCACATCACACATCGTGACCATCTACTATATAGAAGGCAGACTCACCGATGCTCCACCTGCATGTCGACAGCAGCCACAATCTACACATCTGTCAGACCACCACAGCAGCCACAATCTACACATCTGTCAGACCACCACAGCAGCCACAATCTACACATCTGTCAGACCACCACAGCGAATAACTGTGTGTCATCGTTGTGTTATAGTTCTGTGTGTTTCTCTGTGTTGTCGTTTCAGATCTTCAGTAAGTTCGGCTCTGTGTTAAAAATCATCACGTTCACCAAAAACAATCAGTTCCAGGCTCTGCTACAGTTCAGCGATGCCGTGCACGCTCATCACGCCAAGGCTGTGAGTAACTGCACGCGCACACACACACACATATACTGTCTCACTGGTTTACTTTAATGGTCAAGTATCAAGGAGCTGTCTTAATATCACAAAGACATTGGCAACATTTTGAGAAGTGGGCGGAGCTGGCAAGGAGCGAGCAGTGTGCAGGAGTTTGTATTTCTCTGGTAATTAAATTACCCAGCTCCAGTCCAGACTCTGTGCTGAAGCTGTGAACCAATCAAACGTCAGCTGTGTCTTCATGTCTTTCAGTCTCTGGAGGGTCAAAACATCTATAACGGCTGCTGCACGCTGAGGATCGACTTCTCCAAACTGAGCGCGCTCAACGTGAAGTACAACAACGACAAGAGCCGAGACTTCACCCGCACCGACCTCCCCACGGGAGAGCTCGACCCCGCCGCAGCGTTCGGTGAGAGTGGCCAGTGCTAATGCTAATGCTAACACCTTTCAGTGTTACTGAACTGCTGTAAGGTAGGGGCGTCTAAATAACTGTGTGTGTGTGTGTGTGTGTGTGTGTGTGTGTGTGTGTGTGTGTGTGTGTGTGTGTGTGTGTGTGTGTGTGTGTGTGTGTGTGTGTGTGTGTGTGTGTGTGTGTGTGTGTGTGTGTGTGTGTGTGTGTGTGTGTGTGTGTGTGTGTGTGTGTGTGTGTGTGTTACAGGTGTAGCTCTGCCTCCGTACGGAGCCGCAGCGTTCCCACCCACCTTCCACCAACACACAGGTGACACCAACAAACCAGAGACACATTAACACACACTTCAATCGTCGCTGTCTCTGTTGTTAATAAAGTTTTCTCTCTCAGGTCTGGCGATGGCGCCCGTCCACGGCTCGTTGGTGTCTCCTCCTCGTGTCTCCCTGCAGGTGGCGCCTCCCGGTGTCCACTCTGTGCTGCTGGTGTCCAACCTGAACCCAGAGGTCAGAGTTCACACACACACACACACACACACACACACACACAGTAGCCGACCAATCAGAGCACGGCTCTTTGACCTAACTTGGTTTGTCTCTGCAGAGCGTGTCTCCTCATGGCCTCTTCATCCTGTTCGGTGAGAATCTTGGATTATTTACAAACTTTAAATCTTAAATCTGGCGTCAGATTAATGAAAGAAAAAGAGGTTTCGATGATTTGTGGAGAATCAAACGATGAATAAAGACGATAAGATCAATAATTAAAAAAGTGTGTGTGTGTGTGTGTGTGTGTGTGTGTGTGTGTGTGTGTGTGTGTGTGTGTGTGTGTGTGTGTGTGTGTGTGTGTGTGTGTGTGTGTGTGTGTGTGTGTGTGTGTGTGTGTGTGTGTGTGTGTGTGTGTGTGTGTGTGTGTGTGTGTTTCCAGGTGTTTACGGGGACGTTCAGCGGGTGAAGATTCTCTTCAATAAGAAGGAGAACGCTCTCGTTCAGATGAGCGATGCCACTCAGGCTCAACTTGGTGTGACACGTTTTCATGCTTTTATTGTGAAATCTTTACTCCAACTGTGTGTCAGAGAAACAATAAGAGACTTTTATTTTTAAAATCTAAAACAGAAGTGAATGTTTGAACAGCAGATTCACGATGACTTGACAGAGATTTATCTTGTTGTTTTTTTACAGCGATGAGTCACCTGAACGGCCAGCGTCTCCATGGAAACGTGATCAGGGTGATGCTGTCCAAACACCCCGTGGTGCAGCTACCCCGCGGGGGGGCGGGGCAAGAAGAGCAGGTGCTGACCCGAGACTTCTCAGGCTCCGCCCTCCACCGCTTCAAAAAACCCGGATCCAAAAACTTTAACAACATCTTCCCTCCATCCGCGACACTTCACCTCTCCAACATCCCGTAAGATTCACCTGACCCGCCGTCCACGCCAGCCGCCTCCACGTTTTTCATTTCTTCTCATTTGGATTAATTCTAATATGTCTGTTTTCTCCTCGCAGCTCGTCGGTCAGCGAGGACGTGTTGAAGGATTTATTTTGCTCCAGTGGATTCACAGTGAAAGCCTTCAAGTTTTTCCAGTGAGTAACACTAAACCTATGACTATCAAAAAGAAACCGAGTCACTGACCGAATTACAGACAGTCACTGACCGAGTCCCAGACTCACTGACCGACAGAGTCTTTGACTGATTCACTGACTGAGTTACTGAGTCACTAACCGAGTCACTGACTCCTCCCTTACAGGAAGGACAGGAAGATGGCTCTGATCCAGCTCGCATCTGTAGAGGAAGCCATTGAGGCTCTGATTGCCCTGCACGACCACCAACTTGACCACAACCAGCACCTCCGAGTCTCTTTCTCCAAGTCCACCATCTGACCCCCAGTCCTCTGAAGAGTCCACCAACTGACCCCATTCCTTCTCCCAAGTTCTTCATCTGGCCCCGAGTCCTCCTCCAAGTAGACCATCTGACCCCGAGTCCTACTCCAAGTGGACCACCTGACCCAAAGTCCTTTTTCAAGTCTGACATCAGACGCCGGTCCTCTACCGAGTTCATCATTTGACCCCAAGTAATCAAGGTACCTTTCCCAAGTCCACCATCTGACCCTGAGTCCTTCTCTAAGTCCACTATCTGACCCGAGTCCTTCTGAGTCCAGGTCCAGTGGGAACAAACGGACCAATGGGAGCGCTCTCCATGCCTATGAACTCTCTGACATCACAGTGACGGATGATGACACTCAGCGTGGGGGGCGTTTCCTTGGCGACACAGGTTACAGAGCACATTCCTGAGCTGACCCGGTGGTGCATTGTGGGTAGTGGAGTCCAGCAGGGAGTTAAAGTGAAGTGAACTTTTTCTGTTACAGAACGGGAAGCAGAAAAAAACCTTTTTCACATTTTCAGAACTTTTCAAGCAATTTTTTTTTTTTTTCTTGTCGTTTTTAAAGAGACGCGGCGTGGAGTGACATTCTGAAAACTCTGAAGTTTTTTTATTTTCACAAAGAAAACAATTATCAGATTTCTTTTAACTGTTTTTATTTAAACAGCGTTTTTCACAAACGTTAGAAAAACAAACGTGTGAATCATTTTAAAATATTGTTGATTTTTATGTGGTTATTCTTTTATTCAGAACGTTTTCGAACCTCAGCGACGTCGACGTGCCTTCGCCATCGGCACCTCCTCCTGCTGTCTGTCGGACTGAAGTCTTTTTATTTCTTTTTCATGAGCTGTTGTTGAATTTTCTGTTTCTGCTAAACTCTTTCTGTGCCTTATTTTTCTGGATTCTTCTGCCGGTGGTTTCTCGGTTTGTTGGTTATTTAATCATGTATGTATTTATACTGTACAAACACACAGTGATGTTAAGCCCCGCCCCTACCTGAACGTATGTGTGTGTGTGTGTGTGTGTGTGTGTGTGTGTGTGTGTGTGTGTGTGTGTGTGTGTGTGTGTGTGTGTGTGTGCGTGTGTGTGTGCGTGCGCGTGCGTGCGTGCGTGCGTGCGCGCGCGCTGTGATTACTTTTTCTTATTCCAATCAAACATGTTTTTTTTTTCATTTAAAATAACTTTAAATTTTGGTCTGATGTTTTGTTTTAAAAGAGGAAGTAAGCCACTAAAAACAGGAAGTCTGCCTTCTGACCTCTGACCTTCTGTTTGAATCGTGCAGAGCGTAAACAGGGCTTGTTGATTAATTTATTCTTAAGAGTTAAGACGTGAAGAAAACTCGTGTTTGACCCTTCTAGGCATCCGTAGAAAACAAAAACAAATTATTTGATGCATTTTTTTCTCTAAATTATTTAAAACATCAAAACATTTGATCAGGTTGACCTGACGTCAGGGCTCAGTCTTCAAGTCTTGGTTCTTTAAAAAGTGGGCGGGTTCAGACAAAACCAAAGTTTTTGTGCCTTTTAATTGGACCAATTCCTTCTTCAATATGACATCACTTCCTGTTTAAAAGGCTTTCCGAATGTTGTTTACTTGTTGCAGGATTTGAGAGCATCTCCTCGTTCTGAACGTGAAACATTGGATGTTTTTACGTCTTTCAATGTTTAAAGGAACAAAAGTTAATCTTGAAGTCGACCTGTTCTGATCTCCGCTTTAAACTCACATCGAGCGTCACAAAATGGATGCTCAAACTGAGGGCGCACTCACACTCGCCAGCTCCCTTACGAAACATGACCCCCCCCCCCCCCCCCCCCCTGCTGACCTGCACTCACACTGCTCCAGGACTAACCGGGTCTGAGCGTGTAGCGCTGCCAGGACGTTTGCTTTATTATTTACACTTTTTGAGCACTTCAAGAGAGACGATGAAAACCAACGCACTCAGGAATAGTTCTGATGGTTCGATTGATTCACAGCGTGCACAGAGTGAAACTCCACCTTAACTTTTCTGTCCACTAGCGGCCGCAGCCTGTATGATAGCAGCACGGTGGATTAGCTCTGGTCCAGGTTCTGGTCCAGAACATGACGAACTCTTCACAGACTTTGGGGCGAATTCCGAGTCGTTCTGTTCAGTGACGTCCCACTAACACTCTGGGATTTCTGGATAATGGACGCAGGGATCAATTATACTTCATGTCCACGTTGTGTTCCCGTGCTCGTGAGCGACCATACCGTGTACCAAGCACTGCCATCAGTGCTCGAGCCCTCGCACTCCACAGACGAACTTGACTATGGGGGTCAAACAGGCTTGGGCACGTTACGGCTTGTCTAGTGTGAGTGCGCCCTGAAGGTAAACGTACATCAAGTTATCCCAGGATGAATCTGCAGAGGGCGCTAAACGCCTTGTTCTGCTAATCACGCCCCAGACGGCTTCAAGCCTCTCCGCAGGGCGCTGAAACCTCTTAGAGGACGCTCTCCTCCCCTCTCTACAAGGAACACGTTGAGTAACGATTACTCAAATACCCGAGATGGTTACTTTTTAACACAAAGTGTTAAACAAAGTCAAAGACTTTGACGACCTCTGATGACCTCCTGTATGATGCTGACCTGTTATGTGTTAAAGGAACTCCTTCTGATTGGTCAGCTCTCTGGAAGCCTCTAAGAGGGGCAGAACGCTGCAGGGCTGCCAAGGGAGGGCTGCTCTCCATAGCTGGGTAACACGTGAACATATTAACGTTACATGTTTTATTTAAAGTCACATTCACTCTGAACGTTTGTTTCATTTGAACGATTTGACTCTGAAAGACCGACGTGAGAAATATTTGAACTCTTTCTGGAGTTTTATGGAAACATTAAAATTTAAATGTTTTAATTTATTTCAGATTCATGTTGAAAGTTTTTTATTCTTTTCGATCTGAATGTATCGTTTAGTTTTTGATGCTGATGAATGTAAACTTGTGGTGCATTGTGGGAGCAGCTGGGACCTTTAATATTATAATCGTCATGAATATTTTTCATATTGTATCAGTGCATGAAGGGGTCTGTTTGGTAACTTTTATTCTTAAAGTGTGACAGGAAGTTGTAGCATGACTCACTGAATAAATTAATCACTTTACAACCAATCACTGTGCTCAGTTTCTACAAGCCCCACCCACCGTCCTTCCTCTCAGCGAATCAGAGACTCTGACATTTTCTACAAACAGACTCGGTTTGAAAGGATAAAACTTTATTGTTCCTGTGCGGACACAATCCTTAGCTGTGATTGGTCGGTTCGCAGACTACAGCAGATAAACGGCATTAAAAAAACAAAACGAATCCTACAGATCTTATTGGACGACGGAGACAGGGGCTCGTCCGACTCAGCGCTGATGTCATCAACCAAACCTCCTGAAGCTATGCTAACAGCTAAAGGCTAACAGTAGAGCAACACAGCTTAAAAAACACGAAACACATGGATACACACACTCGCGCACACACACACACACTGTACAGCGTTCAGACTAAACAACAAAATGTTCAGAAATGTGGGTTATTGTTTTTTTTTTTGGTCCTGTGATTGATTGATTGTTTGGTGAAATGTTTGGACCATTAAACGTCAGAATACTAATTTGTTCAGTGCTTGCTGTGCTGACGGCGGGACGATAAAAAGGAATATATAAAACAGTTTGACAAAGATTCTCCGATCTGATTGGCAGATTTATTTTTTCACAGTTTGTTTGGAAACTCAACGTTCGAATGCTTTTATTTTGAAGGGACAAGAAAGTTCATGAAGTTTTATTTTTTAAATATTATGAAAATATCCTTCAAAATAAAATGACAAAGGGAAGATGATTGATGTTTGTTTTTAAATCAGAAGAGTTTTTTTTATTCAGGGATGATGTTTTTACCGTTCAGATTTTCTAAAATTTAATTTAATAAAATCCTGAAATCGGACACCGCCTCTGGATTTTTAAAACTCAAAAATATTTCTGAAAAAGTTATTAAATTAACTTAAAAAACGTCACTTTATCTGACACATTTTAAAACCATCGGCGTGACTTGAGAGTCTTTCAATGTTAATGAGGCAAGGTCGTGGCCGTCACGTAAACGTTTGTCCGACTCGTCGCCACTCTTCACGTTTCATCCGATTATTATTTCATATTTTTAAATCATATTTATGTCCATAAAAAAAAAAAAACTTCACAAACTTCAAACATTAACATTGAGGCGACAGCCAATCAGGAGAGAGGAGTTTGACTCCTCCCTCCTGATTGGTTGATTGGATTTCTCTGGCAGCCGGGTGATGAACTGATCAAAGATCAGACGATTCAGTGCGATGCATCACTCCCTCACATTTTTTCTCTTGTTTATTTTTTTCCTCTTCTTCCCTGCACTCTCATTGGCTTGTTCTGGCATCATTTAGTTTTAGCACCAAAAGGAACATAAATAGTTACACACACATGTACACACACACACACATGTACACACACACACACACACACACACACACACACACACTCTTCAGTATTCCTCAAAAAACAGGAACAAACATCAGTCTCTCTCTCTCTCTCTCTCTCTCTCTCCTCTATCTCTCATGAGGAGGAGGAGGAGGAGGTGGAGGGGCAGCAGGTTGCCATGGTAACTAGACGTCGAGGATCTCCTCGGCGGTGCCTCCGCAGCGCAGACGGTAGCGTCCGGTCCTCCAGCTGATGGTGGGGTCCCACAGAGCGGAGAGGAAGATCTGCACCGCCATCGATTCCCTGATGAACCACGCCACGGCGAAGTCCAGCTTCGAGAAACAGAGGGGTCCGCCCTGCACGATGATGTCATCGATCAGTAACCAATGAGACACAGAGCCACAAAAACCTGCTGTTCACCCGTGTGAGGATTTACAGGCCTGCTTGCTGATTACAGTGTAAGCTAACATTATTTTTTAGGGTAAAATGGGTCGTCATGACAACAGATTTTTTAACTTTGATATGATTCTAGTAAAAATCAGACGATATCGAAAACCCGAAATAGAAGTCCTTCATTTATTATTTTGATGATCAAAATTTGCAGGCAATTTTCTGCACACGGACTAAAATTGCACAAAAACTTTTTCAACTTTTATTAAAGTGGGAGGAGCTCTTTGTTCTTATTATTTTGAATCAGAGAGATAACAACATATATTTAGATTTATTCTTTTACTGCAGCGGGATGAGTTACCTGCACTCCGGTCAGCTGGATGTAGTCAAATATAAACCAGGCCAAACAGTGACACATGAAGAAGACCATCATGTCCCACCTGTAACACACACACACACACACACACACACACACACACACACACACACACACACACACACACACACACACACACACACACACACACACACACACACACACACACACACACACACACACACACACACACACACACACACACACACACACACACACACACACACACACACACACACACACACACACACACACACACACACCGTCAGAAAGGCATATACAGGCCACAGCGCACTGAAATCAGGATATGATGTTTACATGCACAAACACAAAACAGGATACTTAAAAAATGTAAAGTGTACCTGAACACATAATGAGCGGCCCAGCCAATGATGAGGCTGGCAAGGAAGCACTCGGACACAGGCTCCAGCACCGTGCCCGGCAGCATGTTTATTCTCAGCTTCGTCCACCTGCCAAAACAAAAACAGTTTAGAAACATTTTAACACGTGTCACTTTAAGAAACATCTATGATGAGTGTGTGTCACTTTAAGAAACATCTATGACGCTTAATTTAGACACTTGTGATATTTGTAGAGATGATGACATCACAGATAATTTACTTTAAAAACAAAACGTAAATGTGACTAATTAGATTAAAATGATTGTAGACAGAAGGAATTATACTAAAAGAGAAACAGCCAATTAGATAAAGAGTTGAGAGATCACCTGATCATGCGGGACTGAAATTGGCCAATAGAGTACGACCCCGAATTCTGCATCGCCACCTGTGTCGCCATGGAGAACTTCCATCCTCTAAGGAGACAAACCATCACATTTCAATCAATTTACGTTTCTTATGTTTAAACCAGCAGCAGCGAACATGCTAACCTGTCAACTTTAGCTTTAGCCATGAAGTTACCCTTTGCAAATGCTAACCTGTCAGCTTTAGCGTTAACCTTGAAGTTACCCTTTGCAAATGCTAAAATGCTAACCTGTCAGCTTTAGCTTTAGCCATGAAGTTACCCTTTGCAGATACTAAAATGCTAACTTGTCAGCTTTAGTTTTAGCCATGAAGTTACCCTTTACTAATGCTAAAATGCTAACCTGTCAGCGATTGCTTTAGCCATGAAATAATCCTCTGCGATGTACTGAGCGAAGGCGACCAACCCTCCAGCTTGATCCAACACATCCTTTCTCATCAGACATGACATCCCTGTCACACACTTTATCCCCGTCACATTAGCCGAAATGTATGAGCGAGGGTGGGACGTCCCAAAATACACCTAAAAACAAGTTAGAATTAGCATCTGTTAGCATCAAAAGAGCTTAAAAAAAGAATAGCATTTTATAGGCCTGATTTAACGTGGCCTTAGCATTGGTTACCTGCTCGAGCGTGGCAGCAAAGCCTTGGCGGTCGGCAACATATGGCAACCCATGGACCAATCCCACCTTCTCCGTCATCTGATTGGTCATATCTGTCAGGGTGTCTGGTTTCACTGGGATACGCACACACAGAGGTAGCATTAGCGATGATGTCGTATGTGTATGAGAGTCTTAAGCTTGTGGTTAAATGTAGGTGTACTGACCTCTGATGCCGCTGTCACAGATCCAGACCAGGCCATATTTGGCGCCTTCGTACCCCGGCATCAGGTTGTTGATCTTAGGGTTGATTCCAACTTTCTTGCCCCCTGAGTATCAAAGATCAACACATTTTTGCTGTGGTATAAAACAGGTAATGTAAATCGTTTTATTTTTACCAGAATGGTAGCTGAGTTTAAAATTATGATATTGTGACATCGTTTTTCTCACCGATGAATAATCGAGCGTCTACGTTGGGATATTTGCCCAACAACTTTTTACAGACGTCAACAGCTGGATCATCTTGATCCTGAACGCACAGCAGGATCTCATACTGCAAAGCAAACAGAAGACATGTTTCAGGGAGCCCACTCTTATTGGTTAGTTGGTGGTGTTATTTGGATGGCTGTAAGGAGCAGTGTGTGGTAGTTGAATGGTAATCAGTAGTAAGATGGGTGTAATGAGCAGTTCATCACTGGTCTAGGGTTATTGGATGGAAGTTTGGACAGTCACATGGTGAGTTGATTATATTGATTGGCAACCGGATGGCAGTCTGAACCGTCAGCTAGTACACTGGGTCACTTTGGAGGCTAGTTGGGGAAGTTGAAAGTTGGTCAGGGACAGAAAAAGTCCCTGTCCTGGGCAATAAAGGGATAGTGTAGGCAGTCAAATGGCAGTCAGCAGAATACAAATGGCAGTGACGGCAATGAGATTAAAGAAAGTTCACAGTTGGATGGTAGTGAAGGGCAATCACAGGGTAAAGTAATAGTAGATCAAGATGTAAGATAATACCGCAGGGCAATCTGAAGAAGGTTGGGGCAAATGGACAGTGTGAGTGAGTAATGAAAGAACTCTCTAGGGTGGTTAAGATGATAGTCTAAAGCAAAGAAGACTGGGACATGATGGGTGGTAGTTTGGACTGTCAGAAGCAGAAGAGCCACTCTGATGGTAGTTGGGTACAGTCACATAAAAGTTCAGGATGGTAGTTCAGGGAAGTCTGGTGGTGGTTGGAAGGATGGCTGGGGCAGTAAAATGTTTTCATGGGCCAACCGGTGATAACAAGGCAGACAGATGTCCTGGTCAGCTGGGCATATGGGCTCTGGGATGGCAGTGGGGGCGTTAAAATGTTGGTCTGGTTACAGTTAAGGGTAATCGAATGGCAAATAAATGGCAGTCAGAGATAAGGTGAAAGTCAAGTCAAACGTGAATCAGGGACAGACCAATCACTATCTTTGGCAGTTGAGTGGGTGGTAGTTGTAGTCAGAGAAGACAATAATGTTAGTCAAGAGGGTATGATGGCAGCAGGTTCAGTAAAACTGAACTTCCCCTCAGGCAGTATTTATGATTCTGGGCAGTTATGGTGGTGTTGAGGGGTGAGAGGGGGCAGTTATGGTGGTGTTGAGGGGTGAGAGGGGGCAGTTATGGTGGTGTTGAGGGGTGTGAGGGGGCAGTTATGGTGGTGTTGAGGGGTGTGAGGGGCAGTTATGGTGGTGTTGAGGGGTGTGATGGTGGTGTTGAGGGGTGTGAGGGGGCAGTTATGGTGGTGTTGAGGGGTGGTTATGTGGGGGCAGTTAGTGTCACCTTGGGGTAATCCAGAGTGAAAAACGTCTCCAGGTTGGAGATGAGGTTTGGGTCTACGCCCTTCAGAGGCTTCAGCAGAGAAACTCCTGCGAGCTGCATGAACGGCTGTTTGACCTCCGACCTTTTCTTGTGGAGGTGGAGACGCCTGAGACGGACACAGAGGTCAGAGGTCAGCGGCAGTTACATCAGGACAACACCAAACATTGTGATAAAGAGCAGCATCTGAAGACTGATTGAAAAAGGTTGAGGACTGTTGGTTCAAACAGCAAACGGACAGTAATAATGTCTTATTATGATGTCACAGCAGTGTGTTTGTTTATGAACAATAAAGTCATTCTTTAATAAAGGGAAGATTAAGATTTATCACGTGTAGGTTTAGTTCGGAGTCAGACTAATCATTCTTATCCTGAAGTATCGCCTACTTCTCTGGTTGGCTACGGTCCTGCAGCAGTTTTGCATCGATGCAATGAAACATTTTGATGGTTATCTGGTCGTTCATTAAAGTTAACTTAATTTAAACATTCAAACATAACAATCCCAGCTTTGCCTTAAAGGCTTCACTTCCTGCTCATCATAAGACCCGGCTTATCCTTAGACCACGAGCGTTAAGAGGGAATCCGAAAGGACCAATCAGTGAGATGTGTAGTGAGTGAAATGATAAAGTGATCTTACTATATGATCAGACATTAAGGAAACATGTTATGTTGAAGTGCTGGCTTCTCTGACAACAATGCAGCAGCCAGTATGTCCTCCTTCTAACTTTAGATTCTGGTCCTGAATGATCTGGATTTGTTTGGACCAGAGAAGGTAGGCGGTTTTAAGGCACCCCCACACGGCCGTTTTGGACGCCCCTCGGTTTGCCAGATATGAGAGCAGTTATCAGGTCAACAGGTGTTGCAGCGGGTAAGAGAAGTGGTTCAGATAGAAGTGATTGTATCCGACCTAAAAAGCCTCTGCATGTTTCTAATAAGCTCCACGAGCAGAAACGTGCTCAAACTAGGATCAATATTGGAGATGCTTTTGAAAAATGTAGAGAGGTGAGAACACAAAAAGGTTTACAGACCGATGCAGAGCTGGATAAACACTGAAGTGTGTCCACCACATGGTGACCTGTGTGAGCATGGACTCTAGAGAGGAGGGAGGGAGACAGCTCTCTACAATGTTTAGAATTTAGACTGCAGTACCCATTTTAAACACTAGGGGTCAGAGTTACATACTGCTCCTTTAATATCTCAGCCTTTACTTATTTATTATGATACTGATGTAGAAAATAACTCCCAGCAAAGGCCCAAACTATTGGACAACAATTAAAAACTATTAAAGTACTTTGTTGTTTGATGTAAACTTCCCTCCAGTTTCTTAAATGTGAGAATTTGCTGATTTTCTTAATTTCTGAAAGACAAACGGGCGACATGTCGAGTAGAATCACCTCTTATGACCCACAATGAACATAAACAGAACGATAGAAACTATGTAATGCTCTGTGCCCTGTTCTACCAGCTGAGTGTAAGTTATTTCTGAAGTTGTGATATGAAGTCCAAACTAAATCTTACATTGAAACTAGAAATGCTCTAATTAAAGTTGTTTGGTTACCAGGAAGACACAAGGTTTGTGTTAGCTAGTAGAGTCCATACGCACAGCTGGACGTCTGTGATCACACAGACTCTCTTTGTGCTCAAAAAAGGACTCTCGACCTGCAAGACTTAACCTCTTCATGTGTTTGTTATTATTTTAATGTTCAGTCACCGACTCTCAGAAGTTAGCCCACATAAATCTGTGTCTCTTACAAAGACCTGGGAAAGTCTGAGGGTCCTTGAAAGGTCCTGGAAACTTCAGAAAATCCTTTAATCTCTTAAAGTCCCAAAGAGAGTTACATAAATGTTTTTAAACCTGGGAAACAAACGGAATATCCAGAGAAGGAGGAGAAAGACGTGACTGAATGCCCCAAAATCATATCTCTTTAATGATTTCAGGCCATATTCTCTGCTGTTCAAAGATCCAAAGGTTTGATTCAGTGAAGATCAGCCAAACTGATCTCTCTGTTGAACCTGTTTGGTGTGGCAACCTTAAACCAGACCACATGGTTATACAATACTTAAAGTGTCAAACCTAGGGGAAAGACAGAGACAGGGAAACTCCATGTTGCCCCATCACCTTTCAGCTTCCTTAACTTGTCTTCACCTGGCATCTTTCCAAAATGTGCCACTTTTAAGCTTTGATTGATGATTTATATATCTGTTAAATGATTTTGAACAATGATTCCTCTTCACTTAAATCTCTTTGTTCTAATAGTAGTAATTCGTTTTTAGTATGTTTAAATCGTTGAGAGCTGGTGTTAGGAGCCAGGAGGACCAACCCTGAAACTCGTTCAAAACATTGAATTTAAGAAGATTGACTCTTTCTATATGAGAGATAGATAATGCCGAAATGATGAGCAGACTTCAAAAAACATTTTTTTAGCAACAAAGCCCGGCGAGATCAACAGCGCAGACCGAAACATTGTTAAATCAGCTGTTTTTCAAACGGGATTCAGCGTCAACAAGAGGAAGCAGGAAACTAATTTAAATGCCGAGGCTAACAAACCGTGACGGAACAGAGTCAGACGTGAGATCGTAATTTACATCACATCGATATAAACCTCCAGACTCGTCATAAACCGAACCAGCTGGATGATTTCATTATTAATCGATTACATTTCCCCATCAGATGAACACTTATCTCAAGCTAGCAGAGCTAACCGGCTAGCGGTTAACCAGGAAAACGCCCAACAGAGAACCGTCCAGACCCGGTTCCTCTGCTGTCACACACAGAGCCCCGCTAAAAACAACTAAACATGTTTTATTGTTAAATATTCAAATCAGTTACGAAGAAAACACGTTGAATGAATGATGCAAAAGGCAGGAAACAGACGCGGCGCACAGTTAGCATCAGTTAGCCTAGCGGGGACTTACACATAGATGATGGACATGAAGTGCATCAACCACAGCACGAAGAACAGGATGAAGCCGAACACGGCCAGGCCCTGCAGGGCGAGCTCCAGCACCGACATCACGACCAGCGGGAGCTGCCGGGGCTGGAGGCCGGCGGGGGGAGGGGGGGTCACACAAGCTCGGGATACGGTCCACCAGAAGACCGGCCTCGGAGAGCAACGAACGGGAGGATCGGGGTGTCAGGATCGGACTCTCGATGCAGCGAGCACGGCTTGTTGAGGCTGGAGGTCCCGTGACAGATGACAGCGGAGAGGAGCGTCAGGAAGCAGCCCGGGTCAGGAGCTCCAGGGACGGGGACACAGGTACCGGCCTCGGCCTGGTGGTGTCCGGGTCACGGTGCGGGCTTCAGGGGGTTTGACAGTCAGCAGACCGGCCGAAGGTCAGCTGACCAATCGGGGGGAGAGGCGGGCGGAACCAGCGCTGGTAGAAACCATAGACTGTAAAACCACGATACTTCCGGTTACACTTCAAAATAAAAGTTCCATGTCAAATAACCAGGTTATACTCAACTACAGTTTTGGATTTGTCATTATTTTGTATTTCTTATTTAGGTTTGACCTTTTGTTTTCAATTCTAGTTTAGTTTAAAAAATGTTTAATTTGTTTGTCTCTGTAACAATGGTTGTCTCCTCGCTCTTCCTCACAGTGTGTCTCCTCACTCCTCCTCACAGTGTGTCTCCTCACTCCTTGCCTCCTCACGCCTCCTCAAAGTGTGTCTCCTCACTCCTCCTCACTGTGTGTCTCCTCACTCTTCCTCACAGGGTGTCTCCTCAGTCCTTGTCTCCTCACTCTTCCTCACAGTGTGTCTCCTCACTCCTCGTCTCCTCACTCTTCCTCACGGTTTATCTCCTCACTCCTCGTCTCCTCGCTCTTCCTCACAGTGTGTCTCCTCACTCCTCGTCTCCTCACTCTTCCTCACGGTTTATCTCCTCACTCCTCGTCTCCTCGCTCTTCCTCACAGTGTGTCTCCTCACTCTTCCTCACAGTGTGTCTCCTCACTCTTCCTCACGGTTTATCTCCTCACTCCTCGTCTCCTCGCTCTTCCTCACAGTGTGTCTCTTCACTCCTTGTCTCCTCACTCCTCCTCACAGTTTGTCTCCTCCTCACAGTTTATCTCCTCACTCCTCGTCTCCTCACTCTTTCTCTTTGTGTGAATACAACCTCTGGATATTTACAGACAGCAGACACGTTATAACACAGCAGCTCATTGTTCCTTTGGTTTCTTTAGACTTTCATTGATAAGGTTGGTTCCTCAGATCCCTTGAATTAATCATGTAGATAAAAAATCATGTAGAGTGAGGAGACACACTCTGAGGAGGAGGCACACTGTGAGGAGGGAATAGACAAACTGTGAGGAGGAGACACACTGTGAGGAGGGAGGAGACACACTGTGAGGAGGGAGGAGACACACTGTGAGGAGGAATGAACTGATCAGAGAATTTGAATTGATCTCATTCAACATTCTGAGTTTCAAAATAAAACCTGGGGCCGTATCCACAAAGAGTCGCTCCTCGTGACCAAATTTCATGACGTTTTCTCAGAATTTCCCCTTCAAGTTAAAACTAGTAAAAAATAAAAGTAATGCAAAGAACATCTTAGTCCTGTGAGGAGGAGAGAGGAGACAAACTGTGAGGAGGAGACACACTGTGAGGAGTGAGGAGACAAACTGTGAGGAGGAGACACACTGTGAGGAGGAGTGAGGAGACAACTGTGAGGAGTGAGGAGACAAACTGTGAGGAGGAGACACACTGTGAGGAGGGAGGGGACAAACTGAGGAGGAGACAACTGTGAGGAGTGAGGAGACAAACTGTTAGGGGGAGACACACTGTGAGGAGGAGACACACTGTGAGGAGTGAGGAGACACACTGTTAGGGGGAGTGAGGAGACAACTGTGAGGAGGAGTGAGGAGACACACTGTGAGGAGTGAGGAGACACACTGTTAGGGGGAGTGAGGAGACACACTGTGAGGAGGAGTGAGGAGACACACTGTTAGGAGGAGTGAGGAGACAACTGTGAGGTGTAGGGAGGAGACAAGCTGTGAGGAGGAGTGAGGAGACACACTGTGAGGAGGAGTGAGGAGACACACTGTTAGGGGGAGTGAGGAGACACACTGTGAGGAGGAGTGAGGAGACACACTGTGAGGAGGAGTGAGGAGACAACTGTGAGGTGTAGGGAGGAGACAAGCTGTGAGGAGGAGACAAACTGTGAGGGGGAGACAAACTGTGAGGAGGAGACACACTGTGAGGAGGAGTGAGGAGACAAACTGTGAGGAGGAGACACACTGTGAGGAGGAGTGAGGAGACAAACTGTGAGGAGGAGACACACTGTGAGCAGGAGACACACTGTGAGGAGGAGTGAGGAGACAACTGTGAGGAGGAGACACACTGTGAGGAAGAGGGAGGAGACACACTGTGAGGAGTTAGGAGACAAACTGTGAGAAGGAGTGAGGAGACACACTGTGAGGAGTTAGGAGACAAACTGTGAGAAGGAGTGAGGAGACACACTGTGAGGAGGAGTGAGGAGACACACTGTGATGAGGAGTGAGGAGACACACTGTGAGGAGAGAGGAGACACACTGTGAGGAGTGAGGAGACACACTGTGATGAGAGAGGAGACACACTTTGAGGAGTGAGGAGACACACTGTGATGAGGAGACACACTGTGATGAGAGAGGAGACACACTGTGAGGAGTGAGGAGACACACTGTAAGTAGGAGTGAGAAGACACACTGTGAGGAGGAGTTAGGAGACAAACTGTGAGAAGGAGTGAGGAGACACACTGTTAGGGGGAGTGAGGAGACAACTGTGAGGAGGAGTGAGGAGACACACTGTGATGAGAGAGGAGACACACTGTGAGGAGTGAGGAGACACACTGTGAGGAGGAGCGAGGAGACACACTGTGATGAGGAGACACACTGTGATGAGAGAGGAGACACACTGTGAGGAGTGAGGAGACTACGATACCCAACCTGATTTTCAGATAATAAACTGAAACTGGATTGATAGTGGATTTACCTGCTAAGCTCCGCCCATACAGGTGAGTCAGAGGTTGTTTAATAGCTCATGTTTCCATGACCTGATTAAAATGATTAAACGCCTGAACAGGTGTATAATGAGTTAATATGATGATGTCACTGTATTTTTATTCAACTGTAGTTTTGTAGTCCATACCAGACTAAACAAGACTCCAAGTGACCAAGACAAGACCAAGACATCTAGGGTTTAAGACCGAGGCAAGACCAAGAGCAAGACCAAGGCAGGGCGAGACAGAGGCAAGACCAAGACATTTAGGGTTTAAGACCGAGGCAAGACCAAGACCAAGACCAAGGCAGGGCGAGACAGAGGCAAGACCAAGACCATAAATATCTCTGAAAAAAATCTCTTTCAGAAAGAGGCGTTTTCCTTCTACGTGAGATGAGCCGATCACTGGAGGTCTAGGGCTTGTCACAATTCAACTTTTGTTGATAAAATTCATCCCTGCCTCCCCCTGAAGAAGTACATGAAGAACTAAACATGACCCGAAAACAGCTGCAGGTCGTTTTGACCCAAATACTGAAAATATCATATTTTTGAACATCAAGCTGTGAAACTCAAATCTAAAGGAGTGTTAGTAACACTGTCCTGCGGGTTCTCGTCTTTAAATCCAGTTTGGTTTTGAAGAGGTACAAAAAGTTTACGATGGAAAGTTTTTAAAAGGCAGAGATTAACAAAATGTAATGTTCGATTCTTCAGACTTTCATTATATTTTTTAAAATCACTTAACAGATCCTTTCCTTCGTCATAGAAGTTATCGTGTGTCATAATGTTTGTAACCCTGAACCTCCCGCTCTGTTACCTGGTACAGAAGATCTCAGGGGATTTGAGCTTTTATTTGAATAAAAACCCTATTTTAAAGAGAGGGTCAAATGTCAGATATTAAAATCCACCTCCTAATGTTTCTAATAATATGTGTCTCTAGTCTGTCTACAAACCCCCCAATGATGAGAAAAGTCCATCCTCTCCGTCCTGTGCCTGCTCCACTTTTCAGAAAATGTGTGCTTAAACAGGCCATTTGGAGATTTTCCCTTCATGACATCACAAAGGGCAGTAACCCCTCCCCAGGTGGGTGACACTCCCACAGCTAGGTGTTTGTTCTGCCCTCTGAGTCTGCCTTCTCACTGTAAACAATAGGACATGGAGAGAGAAATCCTGAGACACCCAAAGCCCTTCCAGAGAGGGAGTGTGGTCAGACACAGCTCATTTACATATTTAAAGGTACAGACACAGAAACAGCCTGTTCTGAGCATGGCTGAAATAGAGGGGTTTATAGACATGATCAAATACAGGATCAGAGTGAATTTAGAACAAGAAACTTCACACACATGTTTTGAGGAGCTCTGAGACTTATTTAAACTGGTTGAAGAGGAGGAGGATATGACTTTTAAACTGTGCTGACTCAGAGTCCTTTCAAACGGGCCTGTATGTATTGGGTTATTTGAATGAAATGTATTTGCACCTCACGGCCTGTAGGTGGAGCCAGAGTCCTGACTCTGTTCATGTTTATGGGGCTTCAGAATCAAACCAACAACAAATAATATTCAGTCAATTCAGACTGTTTATGTTGTAAATCATCTTATGGAAACTATTGATTTATTTTAAGTATTTATTTTTGATCACATGAACCCTCTGTGACCTGTGAAGCTGCTTTAATATTTTTTTTATTTTCAGTCTGAGAATTATTCTTTCAAACATAAATCGTTTTTTTTTTTTAACATAGCCTATGTGTGTTTATTTGCTAGTTGTAGCATATATATATATATATATATATATATATATAAAAACAATCAAAAGTAGGCTACTTTCACTCCTCCTCCTCCTCCCCCTCCTCACACAGCAGGAGGGAGGAGAAAGGGAGGAGGAGGAAGGCTCGTAGATCTGACGCAGTGAAAGCCGCTCTGCCTCACTTCCACTCCCCGCTCTCAGGAAGAGGCTCGGCGGCTCGGGAGGCTCTCAAACACGGGCGTTTATCCCGGGATATATCTGCAGAGGCCGGTGTGCTGGAGCAATGAGGCTGCTGTGAGGCAGAGAGTTAACCCGCAGCTCCGGAGCTCTGAGCGGGGAGCAGCCCCGGGTGTGTAACGCGGTGGTCGGTGTTCATTGTGTGCGGGGTGGCGCAGGAGAAAAGGATGCCTCCGCGGACACACACGCTCCTCCTGCTGCCGTCGAAACGCCCGATTCTTCTTCGACAGAAGGCGTCCTTTGTCTCCCCTCTCTTGGAGGGTTTGTTTTTGAGGAGCACGCTGATTTGTGAAGGACATCGTCCACCATGCTGCCCGCTCCGTCTCCATGAAAACTCTCCATGAAAACAAGGAGCAGGAGGAGGAGGAGGGGGGCTCCGCCATGGAGGACAAGGAGAACAATCTGAAGACGGCCAGGTTGTGGA